AAATTGTCCGTAGTGTATGAGTGTGTAAGAAAGTGTGTGTGGATGTTTCCCAGAGATGGGTTGCGGCTGGAAGGGCATCCGCTGCGTAAAAAACATGCTGGATAAGTTGGCGGTTCATTCCGTTGTGGCGACCCCGGATTAATAAAGGGACTAAGCTGACAAGAAAATGAATGAATGAGTAATATGATGGCTACTGGTTTCTAACATACTTCAAAATATCTTCTTTTGTGTTCAACAAAAGAAAGAAACTACAATAAGGTTGGAACAGAGAGATTTTTGCTTAAACTGTCTCTTCATAACACGCGCAGGTCATTCAAACACTCACTCACTCAGTCAGAAAATGGTGACACTTGTCTAACACATTCTGCTTCTCATAATGAGAGTTAGATTAGATCAGTGGTGTAAATTGGCATGGGTAGTTTTTCTCATGAATTGGTATAAAATAAAAATGTGTACTTTTATTTGAGTACATTTTTGTGCTGTTTATACTTTTTCATCCTGCAGTCACTACTTTCTTATTTCTTTCTTGTCTACAGTGATTGGCTGAGTTGACACTGAGCCAATTTTTTCCAGAATACAGATGAATCACATGAATTATGCACACTTCAATTCAATTCATGTTTATTTTATATATAAGTTCTAGTAAAGTCCAGATTTCAGAGCTGAAGTTCAGTTTAGTTCAGTTCAGCTGGGTTTTAATTACAATGCTGAAGGTTCAACACTGGAGAGCAAATCCATCAGTAAATCTGCCCAAACACTTTTATGGTAAACATCACAGTCACATGCCCTTAGTGCTATATCAATTGAACAAATTTTCATCATGAACCATCATGCACTGCTTCAAGTCAGATGCTAATCAGTCAGCACAACACCGCATTAGACTGAACAAAACATGCCTCTTTCGGGCCCAGCTCTGGCCAAGACAATTAGCTTTTGCTTGGCCCACATGCCGCAGTGAATTACGGTACATGACTAGACCAAGTCTGGCTTCCAAACAAAGGCCAAACATGGACCATATCTGGGCCAAGTCTTAGCCAAGTTAATAACCCATAACTGAGCCTGAACTGGGCCAGATATGTTAGTGTGTCACGACTGCAATAAAATTGATAAACCCATGAATCATTGCTCTTTAGGCGTGCTATAGGTGTGCTTTTTCTTGAAGCGATTTGATTGGTAGAATTTTTTTTCTTTATTTGCAAATAATAAAAATAAAAAAATTTGCAAAATAAAAATAAAAAAATGAATTTTAAATGTGGGTCAAGATAGGCCAAACTTCCATGGCCCACATATGTTTGGCCCACATGCTGTATGCCAGTGCTGGATAACTGCCTGCTGTGCCAGATTTATGCCAAATCTGGGCCAAAATTCTATGCCTCTTTATGCCTGTCACAGGTACTGTAGACACATAGTCTACCTTGGATATCCCTGTGTTGTTTAAAAGAAAAGAAGTCAAGCACAGACATCCGAGATATACATCGGTGCACAGTGGGTGTGAATGCGCACCCCTATACTGACACTAAGGAGAAAAAACTGTTGAATAAAGAAATTGGGTCTCATTTCCTAATAATTGCGTACTTTTTAAATATTTATAAGCACATTTGAACTTCTCCCAAAATCTTTCTGCCTGATTCATAAAACGTGCACAGGCACATGAGTTTGTTCTTAAGCCTGTTCTTCTGTTAGTGAATTTGGAGTACATGGCTATGTTGTAAGTTCTTTTACTAAAAGTAATACTTCTTCTGCAGAGTGTTTACTTTTTCAGTTCCAGGCACAGAGAGTGTTCTGTCAAAATGCAAGGCACAATGAACAGAGCACAAAACAACTGATGCCAATAGAAAAACATTTTTAAAAAGGCGTTACTCGCCACAAAAAAAACAAAAAAACTTGTTTGGTGTGATCTGGACCTGAACATCCATTCATCACTTATAGGAAACATAACTGTAAAGATGCAGTCACAGTTGTCAAGGCTCCAAACACAAGCTAAGACAGAATAATTATCCTCTATACAAGGATAAAGAGCTGATTGTTGTTTAGACCTCAAATATAGGTGGGCATAGATAACTTTTTTTTTAATCTAGTTTAATCTAGATCAAATGGCTTTTTTGAATTCTGCCAAAGGCATTCAGAATATGTGTGATACCTAAATAATTACTAAAAGTAAGTAATTGAGAACATTAGATGGAGCTCATCTCCTGTTTCCAAAATGCATCACAAACTGCTTGAGAAACTGTCCTACTATGATAAACGCAGATGAAAATAAATGATGTTCAATAAGATGTACTTGTGTTGATTAACTGTTCATTCAGTTAAACATGAATTTTGAACTGTAGGCCTCCATAAGCTTGAAACTGTCATTTTTGATTACCCTAATCTGACTAAAGTCATAACTGAACTAAACAGAAGTGGAATTAAGACGTGGAGTATGCATATGTTAGTGGCATTATTGAAGTAAACACCGCAATCAAACTATTACCGTCATGTTGGACTTTTCGCCATATTTTCTGACAAGATCCACACACACAGCTTTCAATAAATGACCACAGATACACACATTGCAAAATGGGGAAGTTTTTTCTTTCTCATTTGTCGTGCGTTATTAAATTCCATAACACTCTCACCAGTCCTTACTCCTTATTTGCGTCTAATATCCCAGTTTGTCACAGGGGCATGAATGAAATGTTCATTCATTCATTTTCTTTTCGGCATAGTCCCTTTATTAATTTGGGGTTGCCAAAGTGCAATGAACCGACAACTTATCCAGCACATGTTTACGCAGCGGATGCCCTTCCAGCTGCAACCCATCTCTGGGAAACATCCATACACTCTCATTCACACTCATACACTACGGAAAATTTAGCCTACCCAATTTACCTGTATCTCATGTCTTTGGACTGTAGGGGAAACCGGAGCACTCGGAGAAAACCCACACGAACGCGGGGAGAACATGCAAACTCCACAAAGAAAGCCGGCTGATCCAGCTGATGCATGAACCAGCAACCTTCTTGCTGTGAGGCGAAAGCATTACCTACTGCGCCACCGTTTCGCCATGAATAAAATGTTCATGAGTTAAAGTGAAACTGCCAAACTGCAGTTAAAGTCACCAAAAATTACAAAAAACTCTTACATGAAAGTACTTCACGTAAACACCTCAACTATATTACTGTCGATTAAGGCAAATAGGATGTATATGTAAACATAGTCAGTAAGGTCTTTGAAGTATGAAAGATCCAGAGGGGCATCCTGCTGATCTGGTTCAGAAGGGCACTCTTTTGTCAGACGACTCACCGGTTTGACTTTCATTTTCATTTTAAAAAGCACCCGGTCCATTTTATTTGTATATGTTTTACTCGAGTCGAACGCATTAACTCTACAGGTGCCTGATAGTAAGATGTGTAGCCAACATTGATCAGATTCACTCTAGTGAACTGTATCCATGTTAGCACATTACGTTTGATATGGTATTTTCACAGTAGGAATACACACAGGTTCAGACTCGTTCTCGCCCCCTACAGTGCAATTCGGCCAAGTATACATCCGCCCTAAATGTCATCATAGCTTGCATAGAATAGACGTAGCTCCAAACTTAACTTTGAGAGTAGATTAACGATGATTTTTATATATATATATATATATATATATATATATATATGTCTAGTTAGGTGGCACAGTGAATTAAATAAATGAACTTGGCCACAGTGTATGAGTGTTTGTGTGTGAATGTCAGAGTGTATGGGAGTTTCTTGGTATTGGGTTGTGGCTGGAAGGGCATCTGCTGCGTAAAACATATGCCGGAATAGTTGGCGATTCATTCCGCTGTGGCAACCCCTGATAAATAAGGGCCTAAGCTGAAGGAAAATGAAGAATGAATGTCTAGTTACTTTTATTCACCCTGTGAATAACATATCTAACTATATGCAGGGTTCTTTATGCGTTTACTATGATTTTTGTGTACCTGTGGTATCAGTTCTTCAGTTTTTTCATTTAGAATAATTTTAGCACAAATGTGTTAATGGATCATGATTTATTCGTGAACACATTTGCATGCACATTTCACGCATGCATTTGTGCGTACGCATCATTTCAAAATAGGGCTATATTTATATTTGCAAAATAAAGTAAGATTTTCAAACAAAAAATAAAGTATTGAGCAAAAAATAAATAAATAAACGCAAATCTTCAAAAATTAAATAGAGGCAGGTCCAAACCATAAAAACACACCCAAGTTCCTGTGACTCCGCCCCCTTGTCAAATCAGGACCACAATGTAAAACACACAAAAACGTTAAGTGCAAAGGGAAAAAAGCATCGCAAACTCACAGTCAAATCAAATTGAGCACTGCAATTGACTGGACAGGTTTTATAAAGGCAATGCTATAAAAAAATTTTGCAAATATTTACAGTTTTTTAATAAAATGCAAATATTTCGTTTTTTTGCACTGCTTTATTTTTATTTGCAGTTCTTTTTTGTTTGCTAATTTCATTTTTATTTCTCAAAACTTAATTTTTGCTTTTGCAGTTCTTTATTTTTGATAGAAAAATAAATTTTTATTCTCAAAAATTTTTTTTTTGCTTTGTGATTTTTGGAGATTTGCATTTATTTATTTATTATTTGCTCAATACTTTATTTTTTGATTGCAAAACTTTCTTTTATTGTGCAAGTATATATGGCCCTAGATTGACTCCATAAGACCCTTTTTTTTTTATGTGTGTGTACACAAAAGTTTTTTTGTAGCTTAATAAAATGGTTATTGAACCACTGATGGAATATGATCTATTTAGAGGATGTTTTAGGACGAGTTGGGACCATTGCTGTCTATGGAGGATCAGGGAGCTCTCAGATTTCATCCAAAATATCTTTATTTTTGAAAAATACCTTTTTAATATTTGTATTTCGAAGATTGAGGTCTCAGTGGTTTGGAACAACATGAGGGAAAGTAATTAATAAAATGTATTTTTTGGGGGGTGAACCAACCCTTTAATACAATGAATAAGTTTCCTCACCTCCAGGCAGCTCTGCAGGTCCACAACTCTCCCTCTCCGGGTCAATATCTGTCACCCACAGTGTGCGAACGCAAGATTTCCACAGACCATAATGCGCCATCTCACATGTCTGGTTGTTCCTGAAGTGTTTTGGCTGTGAAAGCTCCACCCAGAACTCCGTGCCCATGCCAAGTACCGTCAGCGTCACTCCAATAAGGACCAAAAAAAAAGCCAGCTTGATCTTGCCCTCCTCACTGTCACTCATTCGAGGAGGCCTTGCCCGTTTACCTGTGCGCCCACTTTTACTGCCAGCTCCACCCAACGCACCCATGCCACCTCTTCCATCATCGTCCTGTTGCAAAAAAAAGTTGGACCACATGGCAGCCACAACACTTTACAACAACCAAAAGAAAACGTCCAGAGAAAAAGGGAAAAAAGTAGAAACAACTAAAGCAAAAATAATAATAATAGTAACAACAGAATGAGAAAAACGCAGAGAAGAGTATTTATAGAAAGCTTTAAAAAAAGGGAACAGGAGATGGAAGTGGATTACAGCATTCTGTGACTTAAAACGAGCCTGATGTGCAAGAAAATCAAGTGACAGGGGGTCATTTCCGAAGAGCGGAGACTGGGAATTAACGGATGTCCACAAACACGATGAGGGTTGACAGCAAACTAGACAGAAATAATAAAGATGGGAGGAAAAAAGGAACTCAATAAGAGTTGGATTGAGGCCTTAAAGAGCTGCGATGTGATGATGTATTCCAATTTGTGATGAATCTGCAGGAAACAAAGAAAAGAAAAAACAAGTAATCAAAAGATAGAGAATAGAAGATACAACAAAAAGTGAGCTGGATAAATTCATCAGAAATCTTCTTTCAGTTATTACATGTTACAAGATTTCTTTGTTTGTGAATGACCTAAAACATCAACATTGATGCTGGGTATTTGTAATTATGGTAATTAGGTTAACTAAAACTAAACTCTAGTCATAAATCTAAAATCATTTTAATTTTAATGACTAATTTAAATAATACATTTAATTTTAGAAAATATTTAAATGTTGTCCTTGCCATGATGACATTAGATAATATTTTACTCATTATTTTGCAAGGTAGTATTTAGCATAAATTGCTAATTAATTAAGGATTAACTAGGGTTAAATATGAAGTCCTTGGACAAACAGATTATTTCTTAAGGGGGCTAGCAGTATTGGCCTTAAAAGGACTTCAAAAACTGTATTAATTCCAGCCAAACTAAAAGAAATAACACTTTCATAATAGTAAAATTATTTTACAATTAGAAAATACTTTGAAAATACTTAGAAAATTTCAAAAAATATTTAAAAAATAATTAACATTTACATCAACTGTGTGTGTTTGCATATATACATGTGCATGTATCAAACATTTTACTTATTACCCCATTTACATTCTGTTTAACTGAAAAATAATAATAGTTAAAATTGTTATTTAAAAGCAATTTAACAAATGTTTTTTAGAGTATCTCGAAATTTTTTTTGTTTGTTTTACTACATTGATATTTATAATGAAAAGGAAGTTCTTGAGGGAGAAAATGATATGAAACATGATTCATACTAACATACATTCGCCGTCCACTTTATTAGGTACACCAACTGCTCGTTAGCGCAAATTTCTTATCAGCCAGTAACATGGCTGCAACTCAATGCCTTTAGTCATGTAGGCATCGTCAAGACGATCAGCTGCAGCTCAAACCGAGCATCAGAATGGGGAACAAAGGTGACTTTGAATGTGGCATGGTTGTTGGTGCCAGATGGGCTGGTCTAAGAATTTCAGAAACTGAACTTGCTGATCTACTGCGACAACCATCGCTAGGGTTTACAGAAAATGGTCCGAAAAAGAGAAAATATCCGGTGAGTGGCAGTTCTGTGGGCCCAAATGCCTTGCTGATGCCAGAGGTCAGAGGAGAATGGCCAGACTGGTTCCAGCTGATAGAAAGGCAACAGTAACTCAAATAACCACTCGTTACAACCGAGGTATGCAGAATAGCATCTCTGAATGCACAACACGTCCAACCGGACGAATGGGTTACAGCAGCAGAAGACCACACTGAGTGCCACTCCTGTCAGCTAAGAACACAAAACTGAGGCTACAATTCGCACAGGCTCACCAAAATTGGACAATAAAAGATTAGAAAATGTTGCATGATCTGGTCCGGTCTGATGAGTCTCGATTTCTGCTGCACATTCAGATGGTCGCGTCAGAATTTGGCGTCAGCAACATAAAAGCATGGATCCATCCTGCCTTGTATCAACGGTTCAGGCTGGTGGTGGTGGTATAATGGTGTGGGCGATATTTTCTTGGCACACTTTGGGTCCATTAGTGTACCCATCTTCTGATAGCTACTTCCAGCAGGATAACACGCCATGTCATAAAGCGCCAATCATCTCACACAGATTTCTTGAACATGACAAGGAGTTCACTGTAGTCAAATGGCCTCCACAGTCACCATTTCTCAATCCAATTGAGCACCTTTGGGTTGTGGTGGAATCAGAGATTCGCATCATGGATGTGGAGCCGACAAATCTGCAGCAACAGTGTGATGCTAACATGTCAATAAGGACCAAAATTTCTGAGGAATATTTCCAGTACCTTTTTGAATCTATGCCATGAAGGATTAAGGCAGTTCTGAAAGCAAAAGGAATCCAACCTGGTACTAGTAAGGTGTACCTAATAAAGTGTCCAGTAAGTGTAAATTTCAACTTAATTTTAGTTTCAATGAGATGCAACTTTACATTTTAAGTTGACATATTAAGTTTAAGTAAATTGGTTCCACTTATATTTAAGAAACAAAGCCTTATTTTTTATTACTACACATACGACAGCACTGTTTTCCTAACGAAGGCTTACTTGGCAAACAGCTGAATCAAGAAAACAATGTTGTTATATATTTGTCCACTGTTCATCAACCAAACAGGCAGTATAAGCTTTCACAGAAGGTTAATACGAACCACTATTAGGTCACATTGTCTAAGAATTAGCTCTGCCAGATGCGACTCCAAGATATCAACACATACCAGCATAGCCGGGCATGCTTTAGCCCAGCCTGTTTGATCTGTGCCATTTTAAGGCTGCACAAATACCCCAGCATTACGTGTACAGGGAACTATTAGACCTATGGACAGAGTTTGAAGATGTGCGCCGCTCTGGTTTCCTAAATACAGACAGGGACGAAAAAGATGGAGGTTGTATGAGTATGAAGGCGAAGTGAAGAGCCAGGTGGAGCAGTAGGTGTTAATTCATGTGTGACGGAGGCTCTAAAGTGGTTATTACTGCACTACAGGGCAAGGCTCATTGAAGACCATCACCCAGAGAGGAGCTATAAGACCACAACAAGACTAGAAACAAGGCTATACTTAAATTTGTAGTGGTATACACTTACAAACACACCACGTAATGCATTTTATTGCGCTTAAAGCTAGCTATTAAAGTAAACCTCTGGAAATATGTTGTAAAAAGTGCTAACAACACTGCAAAATCAGTTAATATAATTAAAGGGACAGTTCACCTAAGATAACATTGTCATCATTTCATTTACCATTGTTCCAAGAATCATTGTTTTATTCTGTTGAATATATATATATATATATCGAAGAATGTTGGAAACCTGTAACCATTCATGTGTAGTATTTGTTTTTCTTGCTATGGAAGTCAACGGTTACAGGTCTCCAACTTTCTTCAAAATATCTATAAAGCTCAATAATATAAGGCTCAAAGTAATTTGGAATAAGTAATGGGTGAGTAAATGATGGCAGAATTGATCTCTTTGGGTGAATTATTAGTTTAATAGTTATTATCATTATAGCTATCATAATTGTACCTCTATGATGACACTTTTTTAACAATTTATTGAATCCGTTTTAACTTTCTGCATTGTAGCTTAGTACGGTAATCTGAGTCTGTCAAATAAGAACAGGTTAAGTAGCCTTGTAAAGGCAGCAGGCAAGATCATCGGTTTTAACCAAACTGGCCCATTGGTAATTTATCGTAAGTGTTTTATCTTATGCACCCAGGATCACCCATTGTACTCTGTTTAAGCTGCTGTCATCAGGGCGTCATTTTACAGTTCCTATTTGCAGGACAAACAGAATTAGAAATTATTTTATAATGGTGGCCATTAGGCCATTAGGGAGATGCACCTAAAAAATGATGTATGTTGTCACCTGTCTTATAGTACCTTGCTTAAATTTTTGTTTCCCTAAACGTCATAATAAAGTTTAGTCCGAGTCTAATTAGTATGTATTCTATATTTTACTACAGTTGTTATATTCATTATCTTGTCGGTTTAGTCCCTTTATTAATCCAGGGTCGCCACAGCGGAATGAACCGCCGACTTATCCAGCAGGTGTTTACGCAGCGGATGCCCTTTCAGCCGCAACCCATCTCTGGGAAACATCCACACACTCACACATACACACACACTCAATTTAGCCTACCCAATTCACCTGTAGCGCATGCCTTTGGACTGTAGGGGGAAACCAGAGCACCCGGAGGAAACCCACGCGAACGCAAGGAGAACATACAAACTCCACACAGAAACACCAACTGAGCCGAGGTTCGAACCAGTTGTATTTTCTGTATTCAATATCAATTTGTGTCAAAGCAGCTAAACATAAAACTTCTAGTAAATTGAAACTGTGTCAATCCAGTTTTCAGTGATGAAATTCAGTGTGGTGAAAGTCTGAAAGTCTGAAAGTCCAAACATTGCAGAGCAAATCCAGCTAGCTCTACAAGTCCCAACAAGTAAATTGTGATTTGCCAGCCTCATCTCACGAGTAAAATGTAAGTATTTTACATTTTGCCAGTTTAGTGGCTAATTCGTACGAATTTGTACGATTTTAAAAAGGAGGCGTGACCTAACCATCATCGGGGGATGAGCAAATCGTACTAAATTGTACAAATTAGATCGTACGAATTCATACGAATTAGCCACTAAATGAAAATATTACAAATTGCCGTGAGATTGTGTTGGATTTGCTGGTTTTTCCTTGTTTATTTATTATAGTTTGCTATTGCATTATGGGACATTGATCTATGCTCCGACTAATTTCTTGTGTTGAAAATAACTTAACTTAGAGATTTTACTGACATGTTTAGTAGTTTGCTACGATATATTATTTGGGTTGGTTGAGTAAATTATGGTATAAATTTTAAGATGTTTAAAAATATAGTAGTCTATTTAACTAAAATCAGCATAAAACAAGCACAGCTAAAATAAACGATTTTCTAATGATAATTATGGTTATTTGAAAAGTTAATAACTAACAAAAAGTGTATATTATAAATAATTACTTTAGAGACCATATTTGTTTTCAGATGTTTATTAGATATTATTCTTTTTACCTACTCGGCAAATTGCAATCAGTTTGTATTGCTTTTCAAAGGTTTAAGATCAGTAAGGTACTTTTAGGATTCATCTTTCGGATAATACTTTAAACCCTAGATCCTGACTCTCTGGGGTCGTTAAAAATCCCAGGATGTCATTCGAAAAAAAGTAGGGGTTTAACCCCGGCATCCTGGCCAAATTTGCCCACTGGCCTCTGTCCATCGTAACCATCCTCATACCATAATTGGCTTGATCACTGTCTCCTCTCCACCAATCAGCTGGTGTGTGATGTGCGGTCTGGTGCAACATGGCTGCCGTCGCGTCATCCAAGTGCATGCTGCACACTGGTGGTGGATGAGGAGATTCCCTCCAATGTGTAAAGCGCTTTTAGTGTCCAGAAAAGCGCTATGTAAATGTAAGCAATTATTATTATTATTATTATTATTATTATTATTATTATTATTATTATTATTAATAATATATCTTTACAAAAATGGAATTATTAAATGGTATTAATGGAAAGTACGTCTAAAGACTTCTTAAAGAATGTCTTAAATGTCATCAAGAATCTGGGATAAAAGGTTTCCTGCTTAATTAATGATTACAATTTAAAAAGAGGAAATGTCTATAGAGCATTATTTAGCATGTCTAAATGATTTCTGTAGGATCAAGTGATACTGAAGACTGGGGAATGTGCTCAAAATTCAACATTGAAATTATAAACTAAATTTTAAAGCATATTTAGACTTTAAATTATAATAATACTTCACAATAGTACTGTGTTTAATATCTGTGAAGAAAAAGTGTAAAAGAATTGTTTCGAAAACATCTTGGATCCAATATAAAACAGTAAGTTTCTGCGCATAAAATGCAAATTGTGAGAAAGAGAAACTATATCCAAATATCAAATTCAAGATATTAGCATGGGCAAGGCAGTGGCGCAGTAGGTAGTGCTGTCGCCTCACAGCAAGAAGGTCGCTGGGTCGAACCTTGGCTCAGTTGCCATTTCTGTGTGGAGTTTGCATGTTCTCCTTGCCTTTGCGTGGGTTTTCTCCGGGTGCTCCGGTTTCCCCCACAGTTCAAAGACATGCGGTACAGGTGAATTGGGGAGGCTAAATTGTCTGTAGTGTATGAGTGTGTGTGTGAATGTGTGTGCGGATGTTTCCCAGAGATGGGTTGCGGCTAGAAGGGCATCCGCTGGGTAAAAACTTGCTGGATAAGTTGACGTTTCATTCCGCTGTGGCGACCCCGGATTAATAAAAGGACCAAGCCGACAAGAAAATGAATGAATGAATGAAGATATTAGCATATATGAATACACCCCGTTTTGAAAATTAATCTTTCTATTCATTTCTCAGTAAATAAGGGTATAATATAGTGGTGTATTAGAACAAAACAAATTTAATAAACAGATATATTTATTAAACAAAAGTTTTTGTCACAGTAAATCTTTAGAAAGTGAAAGATAATACAATTAAATTCAAGCAAAATATTGCAAAAAAAATTTACAAGCTACAACATTTCAACAAAATTGTGTACATATATATTTAGGCTACTGATGTTTGAACCATTATTGTAAGTTATTTTGTTTCATAAGCTCCAGATTCGGCTTCAACTATGCACAAATATAATATTGCTAAGCATCCTATAGAAAATATTAATTTAAATGAGAGATTTGTGGGGGGTGTACTCATATACGCTGAGCACTGTAAATCAGAAAACAAGATAAAAATACAGATGAAGAACTTTAGCAGTCCAACAACACACTGATATTCAGTAGAAGATATTCAGTCATGTTACAGAGCAAGTTACAGTCATTTGAGAAACAACATACCGTCAAAACACTAAACATGACCTGGAAATGTAACGCACAGGCTATAATTAACCCAAAGAGATCGTTTCCACCTCCATCCCAGCTCTTTATATTACCTCAACTCTGTCAAAACAGTCTCAGCTCTATAATACAATAAATTGCCAGCCGTTGCCTCAAAAGGAAAAGTCCACACTCACTCCTAAGGGACTCGCATCTCAATCAACAGGCCGTTTTGGCAGCCAGAATGGAAGAAACTAATTATCGTTTTAAATCAGCTGGACTTGAGCCACACATTTGCACATTCGACGTACGGACTCCAGAAACAAGCTCTCGTCACAATAAATTACATCCAGCCTCACAAAACATTTATAAACAGCAAGAAAAACGCGAAATAATCAACATAACTTCAACAAGTTAACTTTAACCAGACTTATGCATGTATATTGCTAAAATTTAAATGACTTATTTACCTAAATTGAGGTTAATATGCAAAACCAATTACATTTTAGCTAATTAGAAACAATACAATTATTTATTACTGTTATCATACATGCTTCATTAAAATGCACCACCAAACCAGCCTTCCTGTGTGCATATTAAGAGACATTTAAAAAGCTGCACAGGATAAAACTATTAAATTAAAGTTAAGGCTTGTCCCACAGATTTGATTAAACTATGACAGTATGAACGTGTGCGGCAAGTGCATTGAAAAGCCATTATGTTCTAGCAACCAAATCAAATCCTGACCTGTTCTGTGTGGGTGCAGATCTGATGACTAGACACATGAAACTCAGCGGAGAGAGGAGGAGAAGGAGGGACGTAAAAAGAGAGGGAGAGAGAGAGAGAGAAAAAAAGAAAGAGTAACAAAAAATATTGAGGGAGGAGTAAAGTGAGACCAGCGCTTATGCAATCAGGTTTGTGGAGACTTTGAATGCATGACAGCTTAGGCACGAGTAGACGGTTCAAGGAAGATGATGGTCTTTTTTTTTTTTTTTTTGAGTGTGGACAGATTTTATATTTTTCGGCGTACGTCATTGTGAGTTTTGCATGTGTGCAGGAAAGTTGAGTGCATGTCAGCTGATCCATGAGAGAGTGTGTGTGGCCAAGGGGTCTATTTTGGACAAGCACCTGTTAATGACATTAAGAGCGTGGGAGTTGCAGTTGCAAAGAGAGAAAAGAGAGAGAGTGGACTGTTTATAAGGCGACAAAAAGCAGCTGATAAAGCAGCTTAGGAAGGTAAAGATGGTGTTAAAGAGCGTGAAGAGAGAGAAAAACACTCATTCAGATAAATTTCTGTGTAAAACCAAAATTGACAGTTTTTTTTTTTTTTTTTTGCTAGTCCACATTGTTATCATTTAGGTAAATAATTAATCCGTACACCTTAATCCATTCATTCATTTATTCATTTTCTTTTCGGCTCAGTCCCTTTATTAATCTACGGTCCCCATACACATACACAACAGACAATTTAGCTTACCCAATTAGCGCATGTCTTTGGACTTGTGGGGGAAACCGGAGCACCCGGAGGAAACCCACCAACACGAGGATAACATGCAAACTCTACACAGAAATGCCAACTGACCCAGCGGAGGCTCGAACCAGCGACCTTCTTGCTGTGAGGTGATGCCCTTGTTTTGGCAATCTTCTATCAAAATCTGACCATTTGCTTTTGCATTTGGAGTGGTGGTCCTTTAATGATGTCTGTCTGTTGGCTTTAGCCACAATATTCCTAAATACACCCCTTTTACCGTTAGTTTGCTACAAGGGAATGATGTGGTTTTAATAAGGTGCTATATCAATAAAGTTTGATTGATTGATTGATTGATTGATTGATTGATTGATTGATTGATTGATTGATTGATTGATTGATTGACGAAAGCCCCGCCCCCTACTCAATATTTCATTTCAGTTGGAAGCACATCAAAATACTGAAATAAAAGTCTCAGCAATTTCCTGTTCATGAGGACTTTAAAATGGTTGAATACAACAAAAATTCCTAATCAGCCAATCACATGGCAGCAACTGCATTTGCATTACATGCATTTAGGCATGTAGACACCTTGGGTGTGTATGGTGAACAGGCCCTTTTTGAAAATACCGGTAAATTCGTTCTGGCTATTTTCCGGAAAGAGAAGTTTTAACATTACCGGTAATTTGCCGGAATGCTGCGCTGTGTGAACGCAAAAGGAAGATTGCCGGAAAGAGCGTGTGCACGTCTAGAACGTGCTGACGCGAGACGTCTGCTTTAGCCAATCAGAACAGTCAGACGCATTCACGTCCGTGCGGTTTAGGAGAATAAAAGCCTTTGAATATTTTTCCAGACACATTTAGCTGCTAGAAATTAGTCAGATAATGTTTATATGTTTATCTTAATGCCAACTGTGTAATTAATTATCGATAAGACGCTTATGATAAGCCGTTGTTTGTTTACCTTCAAGCTTTGCGTGTGCCCATTAAAACAGCCCATGAGCGCCAGCACACACCCATATCATGTACATCTCGACATGCGAAAGTGTTGCTTTATGTTCTCATCGAAGTTGTTCGCAATACTGATCCATCCACAGAGGCTGTAATGTAGTTAAATGTTTACAAATACAATCGCAGCCGTTTAGAGCTCATTTCAGGTTAATGATGTCAGAATTTACTGGTATTTTGGAATGGATGTGTGAATGCTCTTTTCCGGAAAAATTCCGTAATGTCCTCGCTTGTGTGACAGCGCTTTTTTTAATTTACCGGTAAAGTCGTTCCAAAAATTGTCCATACATTTACCAGTATTACTGTGTGAAAGGGGCTATAGTCAAGACGATCAGCAGCAGTTTAGAATGGGAAAGAAAGGTAATTTAAGCGACTTTGAACATGGCATGGTTGTTGGTGCCAGACAGGCTGGTCTGAATATTTCAGAAACTGCTGATCTAGTGGGTTTTTCACTCACAATCATCTCTAGGGTTTACAGAGAATGGTCCGAATGGGCAAATGCAAATGTCTTGTTGATGCCAGAGGTCAGAAGAGACTGGTTCTAGCTGATGGAAAGGCAACAGTAACTCAAATAACCGAGGTATGCAGAAGAGCATCTCTTAACGCACAGCACATCAAACCTTGAAGCAGATGGGCTACAGCACCAGAACACCACATCGAGTGCCACTGTCAGCTAAGAACAGGAAACTGAAGCTTCATTTGCACAGACTTACCAAAATTGGACAATCCGCTTGTTAAGTGTGACGTCACGCGAAGCGGCTTCCGGGTCCAAGCGCTCTATTCAACTAAATGGGGAGACTCATGAAATGGTAATAATAAACGTTTACAAAGCGATTTAAGGCTTTCGAAAATCACGATCACAATATATATGTCCATGCCTAATATCCGGTGGCCATAAAGTGATCAATTTTTTTATAAATTGTTACATTTTTGGTATTTGTTATGCAGCAAGCCCAGAGATTGTTGTGTACACTATGATTTTATATAAAATTAACTTTAATGTGTGATAGGAATAAAACGTGATCTTAAACAAATGATTTCTCCACTCAAATGAATGGCGGCTTGGACCCGGAAAAAGTATTACATACGTCACAAACACGTCACCACTTAACAAGCAGGTAGAAGATTAGAAAGTATTGCCTGGACTAATGAGTCTCAATTTTTGCTGCGACATCAGATGGTAGGGTCAGAATTTGGCGAGAACAACATGCAAGCATGGATCCATCCAGCCATGTATTAACGGTTCAGGCTGGGGGTAGCGGTGTAATGATATGAGGGATATTTGCTTGGCACACTTTGGGCCCATTAGTAGCAATTGGGCATCGAGTCAACGCCACAGCCAACCTGAATATTGTAGGCAAAAGGGGGTCTAACATGAATTAAATATATGAAACTTAAGACTTATACAGGGCTAAGCACTAATGAATATTTCTAATGGCCCAGTTGGGCCAATGGATTTATTTTATTTTTATTTTTTTGCCTGCCACAAAAACCAAAGCAAATGTGATTAAATATCTTAGTGACATAACAAAACAAAAAACTAGTTGTATACACTATTTATGTACTTTTTTCATTTTTTAAATGACAAGTTTAACATAGTTTAAAGTATATTTATTGTGGAGGCAATTACATAAATAATGAAAAAGTATATATTTGTTGACTGTTGGTCTAAACTGATTAAGCATAACTTTTATTCAACCTAATGCATTTCTGTTATAAAACCTTAAGTTTCATGCCTATTTATACATTTTATGTCTAGTCTACTCCCCCTTTTGTAAATTATCATCTATAATTTCTGCATTATGTTATCATGAGGAATCGTGTAATTATTTTTAGTTTTCTTTCTCTGGATTGATGGTGATTGGATGTTGGCTCGAATGGGTTGTTTTACATGGAAAGTGGAAAATTAAAGACCTGTTTAAAATTATTTAAGACATAAAACACAATATTCTAGTGAATTTAAGACCTAAAATGTTGTTTTTTAATTTAAGACATGTTAAGACTTTTTAAGACCCAGCAAACACCCTGTATATGTGTGTATATCATGTTTGCATACAATTACAAAAAAAAAAAAAATATATATATATATATATATATATATATATATATATATATATATATATATATATATATATATATATATGGCTTATGTGAGTTGTTTCTAATGCAGTGTCTATGGACACTGTTCTCTCTTTTAGCTGCCGTTATCATGTCTCCCACAACTTTTTTCCATTTTCTGAAAGTCTTGATAACACCATCGTAGAGTTTTTCTTTTATTATTTCAGCATACAGAATAGAAATAAAAAAATATATATATTTGTTGTACTCTCCCTCTTCCAACTATGATGAGTCCCACTTCTGAGAAACCCAGAAATGTGAAAAGAGTCCATTAGCATTGATGTTTTTGTCACTGTACAAGGAAGACATTCAGGAGCCACCTCAACTGGCTCCAATGTGGAAGAGCAGCGGCTCTACTCCTTCTGGATGAGCGAGCTCCTCACCCTATCTCTAAGGGTGCGCCGTGCCATCAGAGATTTTATACATTCAGTCATTACCCAAAGCTCAAGACCATATGTGAGAGTAGGAACCTACATTAACCAGTACATCACGCACTTTGCCTTTCTCCTCCTTTATCACAATGAAGCAGTACATCGACTGCATTACAGCTGCACAGATATGTCTGTTAATCTCAGGGTCCCATCCTTCCCTCACAAAACGCCAAGACACTCTCTCCCTATGGCATAGGTGTCAAATCCAGTTCCTGAAGGGGCCGCAGCTCTGCAGTTTAGTTCCAACCATGCTTCAACTAACTTAATTATAGGTTTCAAACACCTGAAGGACTCAATTAGCTTTATCAGGCGTGTTTAATTAAGGTAAAAGCTAAACTGTGCAGAGTTGTGGCCCTCCAGAAACTGATTTGACACCAGTGACTTATGGTAAGGATTTTCCTCCAATCTGGAGATAGCAAGCCATGTTTTCCTGATCAAGCCCTATGGCCTTGTCGGTGCAGATTTTTATCACTGGTATGTCAGGTTTAGAAAAGTTCGATATAGCCAATAGGACATAGTCTGTAAAGAGCAGAGATAAAATCCTGTGGTCCCTGAAGTGAACTTCCTCTGGTCCAAGGCTGCAGCAAGAAATTTTATCCATAAAAATATTGAACAGAACCTGTGACGAAGAGCAGCACTGCCAGAGTCAAACATGCACTAGGAACAAGTTTGACTTATAGCTGGCAATGCAAACCAAAATCCTGCTTCATTCATAGAGTGTATGCTCATACCACGCAGCACTTTACAGAGCTTCTCTCAGAACACTCCATAGAATGCCACGAGACAGTCGAACACTTTCCTTTGTTGGAGTGGCATCAAAGTGGATTCCCTTATTGTTGAAAAACACCCTCCGGACCCTTTAAAAGGATTATTTTTGCAACATATTATATTTCAGTTAGTTTTTCAGTGATTATTGTTTGTTTAATTTACCCCTAATTACGTTTCCGTCTACCTACTATGCACATTTTGGATATGCGCATAAAGAAATCAATTGATGAAAAGCAATTTTTTGAAAATGTGCAAGCAGTAGTATAAACTTATTTGATAAAATGTGCATAAACTACAATGGAAACTCTTTTATCAAACACATTATAATAAAATGCGCATTAATAAAAAATTCCTCTGATTTTGTCATAGGAGATCATGCGATGATGAAAATGTGTGTAAATGGACAAACAAGCAGGCTGAGCGCATTGTGAAACATCTGAAATGCTGTTTTAGTCATATTAAAACATTATCCATTTCGATATTAGTGTTATATTATCAATTACCTCCAGGACTGTCTCACGCCTTCAAATGCCATGTGTTCACTGCGTGTCATCGTCTCCTCCGACGCTTGTTTTTAAAAAATAAATAAATAAATAAAATAAAAAATTTACGCAGCTTGTCCTGCAGCAACTTATGTTTTTACTGTTGATATTTGGCGCCAGTTAATTAGGAAGTGATGATTTTGTTCTCTTTGATTCGTTGGATGGAAACGCAGCATTATTCACACACCTTTAATGCGATATTCCAGTTTTGTGCATAAAGTTAAATTGCATTTTTGGATGGAAACATAGCTATAGACTGTTTACATGGACATCACTATCCGAATTATTTGTCTTAATCTGAATCAGACAATAACATGATTAAGGTGTTTACACGAGTTCATTTTTGAATGTTTCTTTCACGATCCCGTTTTACATGTCATAGCTCATAGTTTGATTAACGTCATTGCATCACCATGCCATCCATGTATCCTCTGGAGTTTCAAGTAATTTCAGGTGTTTCATGTTTAATTTATCGGCTTTAACTGCAGTTTTCACTTTCATACAGGAACATTTCATGCATGCTCCCTGTGACAAAAGAGATATTGGTTAGGAGTATGAACTGCTGGAGGAGTGTTGCTTTAATGGATAATGATACCACACGCAGTATGGGGGGAAAAAACCTTCGCATTTCAAGACAGGTGTCTGTGGTCCTTCCCAGACTCAGAAGGTGCAGGTGTGTGTATGTGTGTGTGTATATGGAACATCCTGTCGCAAAATACAGCGAAAATCCTACACGACAGTTATAGTTTGATTTGTACATTCTGTACTTCAGTTCAATAATACGACTAAAATCAGCATACTCCACGTCTTAATTCTGTCTAGTTTGATTATAACTTCAGCCGAATTAAATTAATCAAAAATCGCTGTTTAAATGATAGACTCTAAACTCTGTTATCCTAATCATATTAAAATCGGATTATTGGTGTCCATGTAAACATACTCAGTGATTTCACCAAAAGTGGCCAGCAGTCACCATATCATAATCAATCAAAGTATCGCCTAAACATTTTGGGGCAGTACTAAAGTTTTAAACCATCTGTAACAAAAGACTACAGTACCTGGAAAGTTCTGCGTCTGAATAAATTTCTCCTGGCACCTTGAAAAGCATTGGTCAAAATATTTTATAATACATTTGGATTATCTTTTTTGACAAATTTATTTATTTATTTAATTTGTTTTTAATGAGTAATTACTCATTCACTGAGGTAAATGATTAGGAAATCATGTGTCCCAACCAGTTCTTGCAACCATTTTCCATTAACAATAATAATTAACTAATATTTAAGTAATTAAATGCAGATAATTACATTCTATTAAAATTATTTACCAGATAAACTTAAAAATTAACAGGCTTTATAAAAGACTTCTTTCACTTCAGTCTCCTGAAATGTTGAAGCAACACAATAAACACATTTCCGTGAATGTTTGCTCCTACTTTTAATAAAAAAAAAAAAGAAAAAAAACACCACACACACAAACATACAAGTCAACCTCCACTTTCCAAACAATGGCCCCCCAGAGTCTAAAAACAGACTTGCCCATAGCTCATAACACTCAGACGCCATATCAGAGCTACTCTACATGGAGGTGAGGAGTGTTTGATAGCGCTATCTGCTGGCAGAATACAGATACAGCATTGCAAATTCAGTTCAAACACGTTTTATTTCACCAGACCGTTCCTCTGGTCCTCATACATAAACGCACTGTATTAAATCAACTCAGCTCAATACAGTTTTAAAAAACAGCAGTGGACAGTTAGATACAGAAAGTATAAAAAAAAAAAAAAAAAAAAAGAGACAATTTTCTTTTTCACGGTGTATAAATTTGGTTAGACGGGGCCAGGAAAATAGGGTTCACAAGAAACAGTACAACTATTATAAAAGGAAGGAGAGATAGCAGGAAAAAAAAACAGAGAAGGAGGTGAAGACAGAAAACAGTATAGACGTAATCGGTAATAATCATCTTCTATAAGATAGATGCCTGTAGCTTTTACCTCATACATGTACGGTGTTGACAGACGACTCAAAACTCCTCTGCCTTCTTAACCTCTACACAGGAAACCTCATTTCACAGCCTAAATAAACAACCATATTCAAATAACTTAGACTTCTCGTCTCAAATACCCCCCTTCTCACCTTTTTGCTTTAGTGTAACATTCATTTTGGTTGTTGTCTCGTTTGTGTCTTTCCTCACTCCTCCTCTCACTCTATCTGACCAGTTTGGCTCAAAGTGTGTGAGCTGTGCAGATAACAGAACAGGTATTTAACATTGATAACATAAATTTACTCTGGGTCAAAATGAAGCTGGAAATTGTCTAACTGTATGATTTCTGTTCTTTTTTTGGCATGGTATGGTCTATTTTATTTCCATCTTAAAGCTTTGCACATACTTCCAATGTTGTTGTCAAAATAAAAAAGACTGATTTGCTACATTCTGACCAATTACAAGTCTTGTTTTGAGACTGCTAGATTAAAAAAAAAAAAAAAAAAGCTCACACATTCTTTGACCTCATAAATCTACGAAATAAGGGGTTTCCGAGAGATAGAAGTCACACCATCTGTGTCTCTCTCCAAGTCTCTTGCTCTTGAATCTCTCCAGTCTCTACCAGAAGTCGCGGCGGTGATAGGCATCAGGGTCGCAGTATTTAGTCACCACCACTCTGTTGGCGAATTTTCTTCCAGTCAAACCTTGCATTGCCTTTTGGGAGTCAAATACTGACATAAACTCCACAAAGATCTAAGAAAGGAAAGAAGCACAAACAACCATTTAAGTAAAATGTGACGTTTACTTTTATAACATACACGGTTTGTATACAATGTCCAATTGAAAATGGCATACTATTTCCAGACTTCCATGTTGTTTTTGCCATAATTAACTTCTGATAAATATTTCATACATGCAACTGTCAGTAGGGCTGACATCTAATCAATCTCCTCTAATCTAAATGATAGCAAGCTGCCTTGATCTTTTGGCTATTTTTTAGTTTATTCATTTAAAGTACCATCTAACAACAAATTTTATGGAAAGAAAATACAAAACTATCGGACGTTATCTCCCGATCAGTACTTGAATGTATATGCATTATCACTAGTCATGCGGTGGCACAGAGTTGGACCTCTTTTTTTACTTCACACATAAGCAGCAACGCATGCTGCATGACATTACAGTTGCTGAGAGTTATTTTAAGTTAAGGTACTATTTGTTTTTATATCCATTTTTTTAATATATATTTACTGCACTAAATATATTTACTGCACTAAATCCAAAAGTGTATAATTTATGTTATGTATTACTTTATTGTTTAATCTGTTTGTTTAAAAGAGTTGTTGAATGTTAAAATAAGGTGAATAAAAAAAAAAAAAAGAAACATCCTGTTTCTTCGCTCTTCTTTATTCTTTTTTTTTGTATTTTAGAAGTATCGGATCAGGTTTCTGTATTAGTAGATCCTTAACATCAAATGACTCTTACTCAAGGGCAAAAAACCTGATCAGGACATCCTTATTTATAACATTAACTTAAAAATATCAAAGATAACAGCAAATACATACAAGTGTTGAAATGGAGAGACAACAACTATAGCTTGTAAAAGACAAAATAGCATGGATCAAATGATTATTTGATGAAGTCTGTCTGCTTTCTAGACTTTCGGCTAAATGTTTACAGTCCTCCAAACACTTTTTGATTTTGTACGATATTTTTATATTTAGAAACTTTATATTTTAGAAAACTACAAGCAAGTCTGAAAACAATGATTTTTCCATACTTTCAGACCTGGAAATTACTGACATTAAAGCCTATGGTTTTTAAAAAGGTTTAACGATCTTTTTATATGTTAAAGCAATATCATATTATCCAAATATCAGCACAATTATTTTAACTGATTTACATTTTATGCAGAATATCAACTGAATTTGGAAAAAAAAAAAAAGGCAAAGCTGAGCCACTCTGCACTTGGCATGGGACGATAACCTGTTTCAAGGTTTATCACGATTTTAAAACCTTTAAAAATGTCTCTTAAACCGTACTTAAGATATGTGAGGGTTTTTTAATGCTTTTTTTATGTGCTGTAAAGAAATCTGGGTTTTTGAAAGTAATGAAGAGAGCAGAAATCAATGATTTATTTTAATTATTTAGCCTGACACTTTTATTGGTCCAGAATATTGTAAATGTTTCCTAAAATGAAATGTGGAAAATATTTATTTTTAATTTAGACAATTTTAAAAACTTATTTTAGAGCAGTGATCACAATACCATGATACAGTAAAATCATATTTTTATGCAAGGTTATCATACAATCACAAATGTCAGAAACCAGCCCATGCCGATCTCAAAGCAAACACAGCGGAATTTTACTGAACCAATGGTATGAATTCAGTGGGTCAAAGATGAAATAGCCAATTCAAATAGATAGTCACTTGTGGAAAGATTGAGAGAAAAAATTGAATAAAACATGATGTAACGCCACCTATGGCTTGTTTCTCTTTTTTCCCTTTGTTTATTATTTAATATTTATTTTTGTATTCGAAACTTTAAAAGCAAATTAAAATGTTAACATTTTACTTAAAGTATAAAACAAAAACACATAGGAAAAACACCCTAACAAGCGATTCAAAAAAATATTAATAATAAGGTTAATAGAAGAATGGTAGATTTAGAGGGTTCTCCTAATTTTTATAATGCACTCTTTATTTATTTGATTTATCTTTTATTCAAAAAGTGAACCGAAAGCCATGTGTAGCTGTAAAGTTTTTTGCTGTTGATATTTTTGTATAGATGTGTAGTATATTCAAACCTTTCCAGTGCCAGGAATATCCAATCCGTCGACAGGCCGTGGGATCTCGATGCTCTTGACTTGGCCGTATTTGGAGCACTCGTCTCTGACGTCTTCCACAATCTCCTCATACTCTTCATCATCCAGCAGCTCCTCTGGGGCCACCATGTTCATCAGACACAACACCTCTGTGGGAATGCCGCCCATCTGGTTCACAGAGCTGTTCATGAGGCCTGGAACTTGAAGTGTGACTGGAGTCTGGTTTATACCCGTCTTCAGAAAAAGGAAAGACAAAAAAAAAAGCCAATGAGAAAAAGGATATTACACATGAACATACCTGATTAACACATTCACACTTTCTCTTACCAGCGTAGTGTTCTTGGAACCGACGCTTGCCCTCTGGACCAGGAGTTTCTTGTCCCCAAGCTGCATCCCGTTTAGCCCTGCGATGGCCTGTGAGGGTAACAGAGGTTGGACAGAGGTTAACATAAGTGACATTAACACCTTATCCACTACAGATACAGCCCATTTTAAAATGTCTCATTTAAGTATGTCATGCAATTAAAAGGATAGTTCGCCCAATACAGTCATTATTTACTCACCCATTACTTGTTCCAAACCAGTTGGAGCTTTTTTGTTCAGTTGTAAAGTAATGTATTTTTTATTTAATGCCATGTCAGCAACCAAGGCTATTTTCATGGCAAGAACATTTTAATAATAAATATACAATTAAAAACAACAAACAAATGAATACTTAAAATTAAAGTTTTAGTGTTAAAACATAACAAGAAATCCAATATTATTGCTGGTGTCACTTTGCTGAAAATTTCCTTAAGAGATTTCATTTCATAAAAAAGTCTTCTGGAATCATTTAAAGCAGTACAGTCTTTCGATCAGTTCAACACAAAACCAAATATTCTTAAGAATGTTGGAAACCATAAGCAACTGACATCCACAGTAGGCAAAAAAATACCAATAAAGTCACTGGCTTATGCTTTCCAAAATTCTTCAGAATATCTTCCTTAGTGTTTAACAAAAGTAAGAAACTCAAGCAATTCTGAAATGAAAGTTGAGGGTGAGAAAACTACGATAAAGTTTACATTTTTACCTGAACTATGGCTTTAAGGTTGCAACACAAAAACAAATAGGAGTATTGGACTGTGTATTGCAAATGCTGTTATATGCAAAGTATAATTGCATTTAAGCTTTGTATTTTCATCACCTGGTCACTGATATTGACGTCAACATATTCACAGAAGGCATAGCCCTTAGACAGGCCTGTAGCGCTGTCTTTCACCAAATTGAAAGCCTTCAGAGGACCAAACGATGTCAGCAATTCTTTGACCTGTGGACAAGTAAAGAAAATAACGAACTTATGTATTATTTTGCATTGATAAACACTAATTTACTGCACATAAATGCTCTAAATGACAATATCTTTTAAGTCTTGTTATCAGTAACATTTCAAAAAATGGAGCTAAACGTTTTATAAAAAAACACACAAATATTATCAATAATAATTCTAAAGTAGTCTTTATATTTTACAGAGCTATATGCAAAGCAGAATGTGAATCAATATAAAGCACCACAAACCTGGTCATCATTGAGGTAATTTGGCAGACCCCCAATAAAGAGTTTATGGGCCGAATCGGGTACCACCGTGGACACAACGCCTACAGGGAGAGAACCTGAGTGTGATCAATAATGATCCACAGTAAATAACCCACCAGAAAAAAAGGTCAACAAAAGCATGAATGAAAATCAGAAATATAAATATGAATGTAAAATATTGATGATTAATAAGTAAAACACATGCCTGGGACGTAGACACTTGGATTCTCGCTCATGCCTGGCAGAGGCTGGTAGTCATGTGGTCGGCGAATCTTTAAACTCTGTCCCTGGAAAATGATGCCATCAAATGCCATGGCCTGTGTCGTCTCATCTACAGAGCGGAACTGCAGAATCAAAAATATATATACATCAATAATAGTCTTTATCGTACATCTCTCAAAATGTTTATTTGAGGATTTAAAATCGCTCTAGATTAGATCAAAGTCCGACCTCCAAAAAGGCAAAATTCTTGTCCTGGTTGATCTGGACAGCAAGAACAGGGTTGCCTGGGGCCTGAGTCAGGCCTCCCAAACGCATCTGAGCATTGAAGAAGTCCATCATAGACTCCTATTTGATATAAATGAACAAATCATTAGAACAATGTTATTATTATACTGTAGTAACAACAAAAATTGAATCCAGTCTCTGGTTTATGAACAAAAACTGAAATGATCATTATGCTATGGATATTATGTAAAAATATTAATTGCATTTGTCATATTTAATTTATTATCATTAATAATGTTGAAAAAGTTAATCACATCATTTACATCAAAATACTACTGGATGCGAGACATAATAATGAACTTCACCTCTGTGATTCCAAATGGGATGTTGCCCACATACAGCCGTCGGGCTTGTCGAGTCATTTGACTTCCCACGACAGGAACAGGTGTTGGGGTCACAGCCAGACCCTCAGGGGTCATTGTGGGCAGCAGAGCAGTGGCTGGTATCTGACCAGCAGCTGGCCAAAGAAAGAAGTGCAAAATTAGGTCTTTTGATTATTTAATGTATCTTGACAAATTAATGTGAATAAAATATAGATGAATCTCCAAAATTATGGACAGTAGTGTAAATGCTTTATCCAAGAGTCACAAATGATCACATATTCATACCCGTCAACCCTCCCATTTTTCCTGGGATTCTCCCGTATTTTACAATTCTATCCCGCTATCATCCCGTAAAGGTACTTCCCCATATCTTCAATCTTTATATGAAGAGTGGCAATAAACATTAAAAAGTCAATACTCCCTATACGCAACCCATACAGCAGAACCGCCAGGGGTCGCCCCTTGCTCTTAAATGTGAAGCTGTTCTGTGCTTTCATTTTATTAAGGCATGAGAACACTGAAATAAATGTAACTAAAATAAACTGAAATAAATAAACAGTGCAATTCCCTTCCTTTTTATTACAGCTGCTGTTGCCTCAATGCAATCTTCAAAACAATCAGTTCATGTACCGGTGCGCGTTCCATAGTGATATATAGATGCTGTTTCCCAAATGGATTCTGTAGAGGCAATGGGTTTTGGGTGCGTGTTTGAACAGACATGTTCACATAATAATAATAACAACATCTAAACATGTCGATCTTTGTGGATTTTCCTTTAAACACAACAAATTTTGCTTTAAATGAGCATAAAAAGACAGGAAAGCAATCGAATGCTTTCATTATAGATCTGTGCATTTTTTAACTGACACATCTGTTATTTAATGTGATCAAATGAAAAATCTGAATGAGAGATTCATACTCTGCTCTTTAATCAGAATGTTTAAATTATACCGTGAAGAAAATTTTAATAAGATTTGATTGCTTGATTCAATTTCTTTATAATAGCTATTAAATTTAATAGGCTAAACTGTTTGCCAATTTATGGCAATTTATTTTTTTTCATTGTTTACTATTTATTCCATCCTTTGTAAATATTATTAATAAAAACATTTTACTGACCATTTCAACTGTTTATTTACAATGAAACTGCTCCAGATTAACATATTTAGTAATTTGGGGATATTTTTTTGTCTTATTTTTACATCCAAATGCTGACAGGTATGCATATTTAGTCGGTATGGGTTGTCTTTTAATGCAGTCTAAATGCATTTAAATTCCTTTGGACTACATGTAAAATTATTTGAAATATAGACAACTGATGTAGGTCTGACAAAAATGCACCTTAATATTGGGCGAAAATATGTCCCAAGGAGCACCAAGATAGATATCAAAAACAGGTGTAATGAACCCTTATATATTTAAGGTTGTAAGCAGCAGAAGTGGTCAACTTAAGAGTGCAGTTAATAGGAGAGTACTACAAATAAATTTTTTGCATTCTAATTTGTTCAAAAAAAAAAAAGAAAAAAAAAAAAAAAAAAAAAGAAATACTCAGTGTTTTCAAGGATTTCAGAAAAAGGATAAAAAAGGTTCCATACTGATAAAAGCAGTCAGATAAGTGAACATTGTCAAATTTACTGTCTTGCCCCATAGACGCTGTATTAGAAACTTCTTACAGTAATTTGTTTTGCATGTGTGTGTGTGTGTAATTTGATGCAACATTGATATAATGAAAAGTACAGCTTTATAAATGTACATATATTTAAAAAATCTAAGTATTACAAACTTAAGGATTTAGGATGCTAAAAAGGAACAACTGGTAAGAAACGGAAAGAAGAAATTAAAAAGGATCTTACCCTGCATGGCTTTGTACTGCATGGGTGTGATGTGTTCAAATCCAGGAGGAGGAACATCCCAATATTTCTTCACTTTAATCTTTTTCTTCTCACGGTGTGGAGAACGACTGCACAGAAAGAAATGGAGACCATCAATGATGATATTTAAACATCTACACACTCTTTTAACCCTTCAAGTTTTATTTTCCAAGCCACAGTTCTCCACATACCTGCGTCTGTGTCTGCGGTCTTTGCTGTCTCCATGTCGGTCTCGACTGCCTCTTCTTTCTCTGTCTCTGTCGCGGCTCCTTCTCTTCCTGTCCCGGTCTCTGCTGCGACTCCTCGAGCCACTGCGCCGGTGGTGCTTGTTCTCCTTGTCTCGGTCCGCTGGACATTTGAGTTGCAAAAATTAAATAAATAAACATGACTAAAATTTGCATTTACTATGAATATATCACATGAGCATTAGTAGGCAGAGATTGTTATTAATAAAAAATAAAAGTACTTGTATTGGCAGGCTGAAATTTTACTTTAATAAGAATTATTCTGAAAAATGTTGAAGATTAAAAAAAAGTATTATACAGCTTTAACACCTATTTAATTGGCAATAACAACTAATTATGGTTATTTTATCAAATCTCAATTATCTGAGATAACCAAATAAGGGTAGTATATGTTTTTCATGTCAACATTTTTTTCTTAACATTTATATAATTACTTGTATGTATGCATGTAAGTATGTTTATATATATATATATATATATATATATATATATATATATATATATATATATATATATATATATATATGTTATAACCCAATTGTTTTTTAACATCTGTAACATTTACTCACCCTCGTGTCAATCCAAACCTCAATGACTTTCTTTCTTCTGTGGAACACAAGAGAAGATATTTTGAAAATATCCCTGTCTTTTTTGTCCTATACAGTGCAAGTCAATGGATAAAAAAACTGCTTCACTACAAGCACATCTTTGACTGTGTTCCACAAATTTAAAGTCATTCAGGTTTGGTCAACATTAGGAACTTTATTTTTGGGTTAACCATCCTTCTAACCAACTAGGGCACGATCATTCAAAACAGGACCAGGGAGCATTTTTGCCATCACACTTCGATCTAAACCCTGGTAATCTAAAATAATCTACTAATATTTCTGCAGGCATGCACACATGAAGCTAAACTTTTTTTTTCTTAATCTCGTTATAATACACACACACACCATATGCAATACAGACTTGTAATACACATAACTCGTGTTCGTGTGTGCGATGTGATGCTGCAGACCCTCCTTCGGGCTGCAGAAACATCCAGGTTAACAGATCCACCCACTAACCGCCACTATTACGCTTGAGCAGTCCCTCATTCTCATCCCAGTTTATACCTTAATATCTCACCTTGTTTGTTTTCGGTCAGCTGTCTCTCAAACTCGTCAAAGTCTGACATTTTCCAGCAGCTCCGACACGCCGACTGAATATGAAGCGAGCTAGCTAGCTAACAGCTAGCAATGCAGCTGCTGCGAATATCTCGCAAACCAGAAAATTAAACTCACACCAAACGCAAAGCGACTGCGAATCTACAGTAGATATAAGAAAAATTGTAGTCCTATGAAAACAAAGCGAAGGTTATTGAGAGCTGCAGAAGTCGAAATGAGGTCTTCCAGAAGCGTCCAGAACATACAAAGGCCAGCATGAGGAAAACGTGCTTTCAAAGAGACCGAAAGTAAGCATACATGCAGCACATAATGGATAGGAATAAACAAGTGCTCTGCTAGCGTAAACGCTAATGTTTTCCTCAAAAATACCGATATACATTAAGTACAGCCAGCATTTTACACCAAATCTCTGAAAGGCCGTAAGAGTGCCCCCCACAAAAGGTCGTGGCCACTCCCAATTACTTCCGGGTCACCTTTACGTTTCATGCAGTTGATTTAACGGATTTCGGATTCCTGCTGCAGACTCCTGGATTATGCATATGCATTTGAAATCGCGATATGTAAACAGACGTATTCTGAACAAAGTGTTAAATAAAACGAATGAATTAGATTCATTGCATTGTTTTGTATCTGCCTGCGCCCCCTATTGGAAAATCTCATGTTCACACGCAGTCAGCAAGTATTTCCTCGGATTTTGATTCAGCCTAGTGACTCGATCGAATCTTTTGAATCAACTCACACAAAAATCTAAACACCCTATGGCTATTTAAATGTTTCAAGATTCAAGCTTTTGTTTTTCACCAATAGATAAATAAAGAATATTTGGTAACACTTTACAATAATAGTACATGAGTATTAATATGTAAACTAACTTTATTTTATTATGTTAGTGAGTTAAGGCGCACACTAATTATGAACTAACTTAACTACAACATGATTTACAAGAGTTCATGTGTGAAAAACGGAGCCTTACTTGTTAGTACATGTTGTTAATTGTTGTATTAATAAACATAATTTAAGTGAAATTTCATCAACATGATCTCATGAGCTGTTAAATTGTCATGCCTTTACTTGAAGGGCCACAACAGAATTAGCTCATCCTTAACTCATTAACTCCTGTGTTTAAACTGTTGATGTTGACAAAACACTATACATTAACATATCATGAGTTCATGGTGGTTAAATTAGGCAAAAACTAATGGGGTAATTATTACATTAATTAACAAACATACAAACAAGTAATTAACGTAGCCATTATACGTATATGGGTACACAAATCGCTAGGTCTTGACAGCATATGTTTTTAGGTCATTGTATCTTATTATACTAAGTTAATCATGTTCTAACTTAATTTTCTAAGTTATGCAAGCTGTTTTAAGTCAGTTTAACATAATATTAAAGAGTATAAACGAGTTCAACCCTTGTAAAATAAGCTAAAGGAAAATGGATGAACAAGTTAGTCTATGCTAGATACTTCCTATTTGAGAGTCAAAATAACACACAGGCAAAATAATGTGAAATTATCACTCTGCGCAAGAACCTGGAAATCACTTACTGCCAGTGTATCACATTTAAAACTAACAATCAGTGTCATTGCAACACATGGGCACAGACTCATGGTGAACTGATTGCCTACCGTTCAATGTTTATCCTTTTGACTTTATATTTAATTAGCATTGCTGTTGCTAAAGCACCAACCATGCATGGCTGAATTGTTGCCTGACTTAATTTCCAAATACGATTCTTGTACTTTATGCTAACAATTTTAATGGCTATGTCTCTTCATTGAGGCTGACACGCATTCTGTGTGTTTGTGCTTTGTGAGTTCATTCTTCCAGGGTATCTTGGCAAGGCTTCCAGAATCGGTCTAATCGAGAACACAAATTCATTCTTTGTGTTCACAGAACTGAGAAAGAGCTATGAAAGCTTGCACTCCAGAGTAATGCCAAATGTGCCTCAGATTTCCTGAAAAGTGAAGCTGGTGACTGGCTGCAGTATGGGTCATACACTCTACCCTCTCTGTGTAAATGACATGTCACATGAAAAAAAAAAAAACACATTTAACTTCAAATAATTGTTCCTGATGGTAATTTCTTACTTCTGTCATAATGTCTTATTTAACTGATGTTGGCCTATGTTACTTTTTATTTTTCTCACATGCCTGCTTTTATTGAGTAAAAGATTGATGTTTAAAATGTTTTGTGGTGCCAGCAATGTGTGCTCAGGATCAGTACCGCCATACTTGTGCTTTAAATCCAAAATATGACATCACCTTCATTTTTATTCTGTGGAAGAAAGAGGGGACATTTATGTTGATTGATAAACTCAGATTGCACTGCCAGTTATTTTAAAAATTAAAACATATGCAATTAGTATCATTATCAAGCATTGTTAAGTTAAACATCTTAAAGACATATTATACATGAATATAGCTGTCTGATATTGTGGATGAGCAGACACTCTTCCATGTCAGGGAAATAAAGTCCAGCTTGCAGAGGCTGCATTCGACCTCAGTGTATCATAAGAGCCACACATAGGCTTTATAATCTCAAGTGCCTCTCTTGCATTATGAATTACAAAGGACCCCATTTTCAGATCTAAAAAAATCCTTATATGTTCTTCTGGTGTAGAAAAGAAAATCACCTCATCTACCTGTAACACCAAGTAATTTCGGGGAGAATATTCCTTTAAGTTTGTTCCTGATTTAATTAATCATTTTCGCTGATACTTCTGATGGATTCAGTAGAATATGCAGACATGTGTACAGTATTCTTCTGTGGTAGTTAGGGTTATTATGGGCAAACGAATGACTGTATAAAATAGGGGCAAACGAGTACATATCTCAGTCCATGCGTACTTCGTTCGTTCTCAAACGAAATGACTCTAAACACCGACTCGTTCAAAGAAGAGGGCGTACTCATTCTCAAGAAACTCTATCCAATGAAATGCTTCTTCACGGAATTTACTCGAACGCCATTGGCCAGTTTTACAGTCAATCACAATACGAACGAAACGGTAAGAAAGATTCGTTCATTTCAAAAAATGAATCATTCGACATTGAACTATCTGAAGGTTTGTGCACTGTAACAGCGAAAAAATTGTGCTGTATTTTTTGTAAAAAATGTCAATGGCTCACCTAGCTCGTATGTGTTAAAATACGCGTTTTAAAATAAGCAGTATCTTAATTTGTATCTGCGTTTTTATGTCAGTCATGATTTTATTGTCGTGCTTGGTTTACTCATTAACGTTACCATATAACTTTTACCAGAGTTCCAACACCAGTTTTACCAATAAGATCAGTGGGTGGACACATACATAAACACTGTCTGTCTTTACTTGATCTCTGCGGTCTAAGAGTCCTCCATACTGCACTGCAAACAGTAAGTACTGCTCGTTGGTCTTTGAATGTCAATGAACTCCTTATACAGTCATGATTTTTTCAATTTGTGTGCAAGCGAGGAGAAATAAATTAGCTTGTAATATCCAGGATATCATCACTGCATGTCTTTATACTTTCATTTGTTAGACTGTTCTTCAAAACTAAGGTGACTTAGTTGTATGTTTTATTAAAGTTTAAAGGGCAGTCAGACACTTACAACAGATTAGTCTCATAAATGTGTAATAGCAGTGGTGTGGTGGTAACGTTAAAAAAATTATTATGTTGTGTAATTTTTTATGTATTTTATGTATTTTTAATGTTGTACTTGATAATTTTTAGTGTTTTAATAAAAATAATTGTCCTATTATTAAGACTTCAATAAGCCTTTGAAAGAATGTTACTTAATGTTACTAAGGCTGCAATTATTTGAGCAAAAGTTTACAACAAACTTTGATATTTTGTATTATTTTCATTTAATTTTTTTTTTCTATGTGAATATATTTTAAAAGATAAAGTAAAATGATCAGCAGTCACTACTCCAAACTTCTGTTAAATAAAATAGGCTTCTGATGGACTGTGAGACTTTAAAGGGTCACAAAACACATTTTTTGAGATGTTGACAGTCATATATATGTCCCACGTCACTAAAACACTAGTAGGACACTAAAAGTGAAAATCTTGTTTTTGCGTTGTTTAGAACAAATTCGTTCTTCTAGTTAAATTTTGTAGCTACGTCACGGCGATGATATCACTGTGTATATTCCAGCGTGGAAATCGTGGTAATCCCTCAACAAGTAACGTTATTGGGTTTTCAGCACATCTGTTCATTACTTCATGAGAAAGACTTGGTTCGAACCAATCCGTGCACTCTATATGAAATGAGATGCAACTTCATTAATATGCATGATATAGCTTCAAAGACTGTTTTTACCTGTTACAATGTTCAAAGAGATGCCACGTTGTGTTGCTAACGGTAATTCAAGCAAGTAGTAGAAGAAGAATTGTTCGGAGACATAGGTCGGCAGTGTTGCATTTATAAATGTGCCACAACAATGGTTTTGTTTCCATTTTTCCTGCGATGAGAGCACAGCTCGTGTGTGGACTCACATTTGTTGTGGATTACAGTGGTCTGCTAACACGAGATGAAAATATAGAAACATTTTTTACCTGAGAGCTTTTCGCGTCTGGAAATTCAGATTTGCCACTCGTGTTCTTTTTAAAAAAGACACTGTTCCAGTTTGCGTTGAATGTCCTGTCCCTACAGATTAGGCAAATGTGCGATCAATGTTCGTTGTTTATGTTTCTCCAGATGGCAAAGTTAGATAGTATCGTCAGCAGTATTCTTTTAGTTTTTGAAGACATACCTTAGTCAAAATGATTTAGTTACTAAGTTTACAGTAATATCACTACAATATTTTGGACCGAAAATCCTTCAATTCCTTACAGCTCTCAGATCCGCTGTAAATGCTGCTCTCTAAATCACTGTCTATCTCTCCTGATCTGTATTTGTGTTGTAGATTTAGTGCACGTAATGAACTCCCCTTTTCATTCAATCCTTTCCCTCTTTCGCCACTTGTCACTCTCAACTAAGCAAAGCTGGACTTTTTCTTAACTTTTTCCAAAATAGAGTTGTGTAAACACCCTGCTAAGACATAGGGGTTTCATGGCCCTTTTAATTCACATAAATAATCAGTTTTATAATATATTACTATAGAAAATAGGTATTTAATATTAAAATAACTATAAACAATAATTTCACATGGTCGACGCAGTAGGTAGTGCTGTCGCCTCACAGCAAGAAGGTCGCTGGTTCGAGCCTCGGCTGGGTCAGTTGGCGTTTCTGTGTTGAGTTTGCATGTTCTCCAAATGTTCATGTGGGTTTCCTCTGGGTAATCCGGTTTCCCCCATTGTCCAAAGACATGCGGTACATTTGAATTGGGTAAGCTAAATTGTCCGTTGTGTATGAGTGTGTGTTTGTGTGTGTGAATGAGTGTGTGTGTGGATGTTTCCAGGGGAGGTTGCAGCTGGAAGGGCATTCGCTGTGTAAAACATTTGCTGGATAAGTTTGCGGTTCATTCCGCTGTGGCGACCCCAGATTAATAAAGGGACTAAGCCAGAAAGAAAATAAACGAATGAATAATTTCACACTTTTCTGGCTTTATGTACATCTAAGCAAATAAATTACTGATAAATCACAAATAAATGCAACCTTGGTGAGCATAGGTGGTATCCTCAAAAACATTATCAGATCATCATGTTTACAATCTTTTGGCTGAAACTATTTTAAGACTAATTGTGGACCGCGAGGAAGTTTCATGATTGACAACTACTTTAAATACACCCACAAACACACAATAGTGTTTAAAATTAACATGTGACGTGATTATCTGCTTGTTTCCTCAGTGGCAGGAATTGGTAGACTGTCCACCAAAGGCTCTGTGCTGCTGCTGTGTGACATGCAGGAGAAGTTCAGACCCACTATTTTCCAGTTTACAAACGTCGTGAGCAATGCTGCAAGATTGTTACAGGTACAACACTTACCTCAGTTTTTCAGAACTTCTGCAATTTTCATTAAAATGTAGTTGGTCATGTATTAAAGAGGACATATTTCGCAAAATTCACTTTATATTATTTGTTTACTGTGTTTGCAGAGTACTGAGCACTGTTGCATGATACACAGATTCTAAAAATGATTGTGATTTCCTGGCTTTCAAAACGAATCTGCATTTTTTTAGTACTTTTTGACAGCTGTAGTTGCGAGTGCTATTTAATAGTGGGCAGTGTGGGGGCCGTGCAATTCTTTTACGCCAAACTGAGTGTGTGTTGAGCTGTTGAGTGTTGTCCTCTCACACCATTTTTATGAGATTGTGTGTAAATCATGTCACATGTGATATGCTGAGATATATTCTCATATCAGTACGGTCAAACTTAACTCTGGCTGTTACATCACAATGCAAAAATGTCAGTAGATTCTTGGAACCATCATCCAAAGCAATGGGATGCTGTAATAACATCTAGTCAAGGGAACAACATAAATGTGTATCTCTTTAACAAATACCCATTTTTATTAGTAGATGACATCATGGACAGCTAAAAATGCATGTCACGTCATTGACCCCCATATTAGTATATAAACATGTAATTATATATGAATATGACAGGATCACTGTGTCATGAACAGTAAGGACCAAGCAACATCTCCAGGCTCTTTGAGAACCAGACCAAAAAAGTTATGTGCAGTTTTGTCTATTTTCTTTCAAACAAAGCTGCAACTATTTTATTTATGTTGAAACAACTCGGCTGGATTGCTGACAAAATTAGTTTTTATTTCTATATTTGTTTTACTATTTTTAAAAATGGTTCTGCTTTGTTTCAGCTGGCAGCAAACACAGAGTGTTTATTAATAAATAATATTTTGAAATAAAAAAATATTGTGTAGTATTGATTTAGTATCAGTATCATGATATTTAATTTAGGTATCGTGTTTATCTTATTTTTCGCCGACGAGCGGGCGCAGCCATTTGGATCTTTTTGGCTCGAGCCTTCCGGTCTCATTCACTTCCATTCATTTTTAGACATTAAAAACTGCTCGTTTTGCTGTTTGATGTTGCAAACTGATATTTTCTTAATATACTACTTGGTCAGTATAGTCATGCAAACATTTGGTTGTAGAGCAAGTAGTTTAACCGTTTTCTGCTGTTTATTATTTCTAGTCATTTCTCGCATAGGCGACTGAATCAGAAGTTCTAAATCAATCGCAGACGCAAAACAGACGCACTTCCGCATTTTAGAATAAGGTCAATTGAAGTGAACATTTTGGTATTGTGCAAGACTAGTACTGAGTACACTGAAAAATCCATTCTGTGTGTTTGCTTTCTCTTTGCATCTAATTTACACATGTGACTGAACTTTCTGGATGGGGGCAAGGAGCAGCAGCTCGTTTGCAATAAAGAGACACATTTCTGCATGGAAAAAAGCATACATGTATGCAAACATATATTTTTTTCTTGTCACCTATTTGTTTTTTATTTTTATTTTATTTCGTTTTAGTTAACTTTATTTATTCACACAAAACGCCCATTTACTACGGTGGCTGAGAGAGCTCACGTTGTTATTTAAGTTAAAACATACAAATAGAAAAATGCTAACAAATAAAGAAAGCAACCTTTATTTGTTTATTTTAACAGCCTGGTCATACAGTTCCTTATTGTTTGTATATTTTAGCAATAATATTATGACAAATTTCACAATTAAGATTAAATCAACCACTTATTCTAAACAGGAAGCAGCTGTGTTTGTCACCTTTTGGGTCCCTAATAAATTTCCTTTGTGGTTTGCACTATTTAAAGCATGATTGTGTATGTGTTGTCAGATTGGAACAGATGATAATATTTTCTCTGTTAATGTTTTTCTATATACATGTGTTTTTAACTTGTAGTGGATTTGCGCTCTCTCAGCCACCACAAATTGCAGCATAATAAATGATCCATGAGGTATTTTGAACTGAAACTGTAACGGCACATTGTGGGGACACTTGACACTTGTATTACATATCAGTATTACAAAGAGGCATAGTAGGGCACCTTTAAATGTGCCCTCAAGACTGCATCATGTTTGTTGACCACTGTTTTAGTAATTTTCATTATCCCTCTTGCAGTCTTAAAAAAACATATATTTTGAATTTTTAATACTGTTTTATATATTGATTTTATTGTATTTTTTTTACATTTTAGTGGTATGAAACTTTTTCTTTTAGTCATTTGACAACACAGACATAAAAAAATGACTAGAGAAATGATTTACACTTGTCTTCTTATATAATATATATCTTCGCATATTTATAATTATTTTATATATATACATATATAGTTGTTATGATTGGTCTACATTTATGCTATAAATTATTTGCATATAAATTATTAATTTAGATTCATTTAAATTTTCATTATTGTGTAGCAGGGGCAGCAGAGTGGCTCAGTGGTAAGCACTGTCACCTCACATTAAGAAGGTCGCTGGTTCAAGTCTCGACTGGGCCAGTTGGCATTTCTGTGTGGAGTTTGCATGTTCTTCTTGTGTTCACATGGTTTTTTTCCTAGGTCACCGGTTTCCCCAACAGTCCAAAGACATGAGCTATATGTGAATTGGATGAACTAAATTGGCCGTAGTGTGTGAATGTGAGAGTGTATGGGTGTTTCCCAGTTCTGGGTTGTGGCTGGAAGGGCATCCGCTGCGTAAAACATATGCTGGAATAGTTGGCATTGTATTTTACAACATTGTATTTTGTTTTGAGTTCACCGTCATTATTGTTTTTGTTTTTATGTTATTGTTTTTAGTCTAATTCAGTCTAATTTCAATTGTTGTTTTTAGTTGTTTTTAGTCTAACTCAAGTGTGACCCTTAAGTAAGAAAAACTAGAAGGATATCCAATTAATTCTTTTATGTATAACTTTATTGTTTTTTGTTTATCTGTAATTGTTCTTGGGCATCCCACTTTCAGAGGCCTGGTTTCTCTCAAGGTTTTATTTCCTTCACTCTAATCAAATCGTGAAGTTTGTTCCTCGCCACTGGCTAGCTTGGTTTGGGAATTGTGGAGCTGTGCATTGATGGATTTTCTCTTCAGTGTTTGGACTTTCAGCAGTGACATTTAAACGAAACTGAACTGAACTTCAACTGTGAAAACTGGATTGACACAGTTTCAATTTACTAGAACTGTAAATATTAAGCTGCTTTGACACAATCTACATTGTAAAAATGCTATACGCCTTAATTTAAAGTACCTTTAGCACAAATCGTCACCCTGAAATAAGTTTTTTCAGGGTGCTGGGATGTCTCTGTTTATATTAATATGGGTGTTCAATCCCTGCTAAGTGCACTGCATCAAACTAACTCGGACTTTGGACTTTTAGAATTTCTTTGTACTTTATTTAGTAATTTACTTTGTTTTGATAAAAGTGTCTGCTAAATGATTAAATGTAACATTAATTATGTTTTCTTCCAGGCATGTCGAATCTTAAACATCCCTCAGATTTTAACCGAGCAGTACCCCAAGGGTCTAGGCCCCACTGTTCCTGAGCTGGGAGCAGAGGGCCTGAAGCCTCACACAAAGACCAGTTTCTCTATGATGACAGAGAGCGTGCAGAGCTCACTCAAGAGCATGGGAGACCCTCAGCAAGTCATACTGTGTGGCATCGAGGCTCAAGCATGCATTGCGGTAATGCCCAGTTGATATTTATTCTGGTGCACACTCACACATAGCCAAATGTTTATGGTTCTTGTTGTACTGTAGTGCACAGCCTATGATCTCCTGGAGAGAGGAATGGAGGTTCATATTGTAGCTGACGCTGTGTCCTCTAGAAGGTATGATTGTCTTTTTTAAAATGTTTAAAATGGAATATTCCAACTCCTATTCTACATTTTCTCCATTGGCTACTAGTCCATTTCAGGATTGAGTTCAACTTTTTTTACAATTGCATTATTTACAATATCAAACAATTTGGTTTCAAAATACCTGATCTTCTCCATCCCTATGTGCACATGGAATTTGTGCACGCAGAAATCTTTATTAGGCCATCATTGAGTCGATCTATTTACTTTTGTAAATGTCTGTAAATATTTATTTATTTAGTTTTTATACAATAGTTTTAGTAATATTATTGATAATATTAATATGCAGGCCCACACGGAATCTGTGTGCACAATAATTTGCAATTTTCCGCAGATTTTTAGCCTATCATTAAGTCTATTTATTTACATGTGTAAATGTGTGTTAATTTATACTATTCGGTTTTTTAATTAATTTCAGTAATATTATTGACTGATATGAAAATGTATGGTTTATTCAAAATACAGTTTGTAAAACAATATTTACTTTCTTTTAGTATTTATATTATATGAGAAACTTGCTGTGTTTACCAAATAGGTGGATCTAATTAGATTTGAATTGTAAACATTAAAAAGGTATTTTTTATTTATTTTACATATTACGTTTTTAGTAACGATACTTCCAAAATCATTCCACATTAATCCACAGATTTATTTTTACAAAATTCTGTGCAGAAATAGCAAAAGATGCAAAAGTCTGCAGATTCCGTCTGACTCTACTAATATGCAAATGTTTGTATGATTTATTTACAATATAGTTAGTAAAATAATATTTTATGTCTTAAGGTAACTATATTATATGAGAAGCTTGTTTGGTTTATCAAACAAGTGAATCTAAATGGATTTGCACTGTAAACCTTAAATAATAGTTGAAAAGTTGATATATGTTATCTAATGTTTGTTACTATACTCTTAAAATCATTTTGCATAAATTTGCATTTTTTAACAAATCCTGTGCATAAATGTAAAAAAATGTCAGCAGATTCTGTCAAAAGTTTAAGATCTTGTAGGATTAACTTACTGAAATTCCTCATACAAGGCTGAATTGCAACTTTAAAATGGCCCCCTTGAGTTTGTGTGTGAATAAGAGAGGCTGCGTCCGAAACCGCATACTTCCATACTATATAGTACGCCAAAATCAGTATGCGAGCCGAGTAGTATGTCCGAATTCATAGAATTCGAAAATCAGTATGCGAGAAGTACCCGGATGACTTACTACTTCCGGCGAGATTCCGGAGTGCGCATCCCATGCATGCTGCGCTATCCCATGATGCCCCGCGAGCGAATTCATGAATGGAAGTAAAGCGACGCAACTGACGCAGGTAGGTCACGTGACCATGACAAAATGGCAGATGTAGTACGTCCGAATTCCATTCATACTTTTCACATTCATACTGTATAGAACGTATTTTTCTAACGGCCGAGTAGTAAGTTTAAATTGAAATGCAGTACCTACTGAGTAGTGGGTGGTTTCGGACGCAGCCAGAGTGTATAGGTGTTAGGGTGCTGGGTGGTGGCTGGAAGGGCCTAGTTAATTTCACTGTGACAACCCCTGATAAATCAGGGACTAAGCTGAAGGAAAGAATGGCCCCCCTTGACCAGTTCCCCTTCGGGGGGAACTTCAGCACTATAAGTGGATTTGATTGTAAAATCCACGCATTGGGAGGTTCGGTTCAGAAGCTACTCGTCTGAAAGAGTATTGAACGGGCCAATTAAGAATGAATTGGCAGCGCAAGCCTGCGCAGGTGAGCGGCATAAGCAATCAACTGAGTATATAAGCTCACCTGGCGCCAGCAGACGCTATCCTTTTCGCTTCAGAGACTTTCTGATCGAGTCGATGAGGGTTCCTCCTGCTGTGACCAGCGATTCTGAGCGAACGAGAGCATTCTCCCGGTCCAGAGTGTGTACACGCAGTGGCAGACGGTCGAGCTGGGTTTCTCCCTTGCCTGGCGTTCTTTGGGTCCGGTCCTCCAGAGCGGTGCGTATAAAGTTGCAAACTTCACAGAAAGAGCAACACAGTCGTGCAGCACGTCCTTATCAGGACGGCGCTCCGACTGTGCGTTTCTGGATGCGGTGGTTTCCTGTCCTCGGATGATGGGCGCGGGCACTGCGTTACATGTCTGGGGGTCCAGCATGTTAATGCGCTGCTCGCGGGCAGTTCATGTCGTCATTGCGATGCCATGACTGTTGCGCAAGATCGCGGTTAGCCTTTGCAAAAGGGCGAACCACCCCAGTTGTCCCCTGCTCTGCAGCGAGCACTCGGGCAGATCTGAGGGTTTCAGCGAGAGATAATCCGTCGCCCACGGGCCCGCGGACCTCCCGCTCCTCTAAGCGCTCTGAGCGGCAACACGTGCTGGTCAGGACGGACAGTACGGCGGCGGTGGCGTATATCAGCCGTATAGGGGGTATGCGCTCTCGCCGCATGTCTCAGCTCGCCCGCCGTCTGCTCCTCTGGAGTCATCCGCGGCTGAAATCGCTGCACGCCATTCATATTCAGGCAAGCTCAACCGTGCAGCCGATGCGCTCTCACGGCAGCCTTGCGTCCTGGAGCATGGAGACTCCACCCCGAGTCTGTTCAGCTGATATGGGCGCGATTCGGGGAAGCCCAGATCGATCTGTTGCTTCCCCCGAGATCGCTCATTGCCAGTTGTTCTTTCCCTGACCGAGCGCTCTCGGCACGGATGCACTGGCTTACAGCTGGCCTCGGGGCACGCGCAATACGCGTTTCCCCCAGTGAGCCTGCTCGCGCAGTTACTGTGCATGGTCAGGGAGGACGAGGAACAGGTTGCTGGTTGCGCCCCTCTGGCTCAACCGGACCTGGATGTCAGAGCTCTCCCTCGCGATAGCCCTCCCCTGGCAGTCCCTTCGAGAGAGCACCTACTCTCTCAGGGACAGGGCACCACCTGGCACCCTCGCCGATCTTTGGGATTTTTAGACGCGAGGAAGACTTAGGTAACCTCCGATTGCGGTGGCTAATACCGTCACTCGGGCTAGAGCCCCCTCCCCGAGCGCGCCTATGCCCTGACGTGAAGTCTATTCACTGAATGGTGTGTCTCTCGCTGAGAAGACCCCCGTAATTTGCCAGATCAGCGTTGTGCTTTCTTTACGCCGAGAGAAGCTGGAGAGCAGGCTGTCGCCCTCCACACTCAAGGTTACGTGGCTGCCATCTCCGCTCTCATAACGCGGTGGCTGGCAGCACCGTGGGAACGCATAACCTCATCATCCGGTTCCTCAGGGGCGTTAAGCGAATTAATCCACCCCGCCCCCTCTCATGCCCTCTTAGGATCTCGCCCTCGCTACACAAGCCGCGTCAGATCCCTTCGATCCTCGACTCAGTATATTTCTGTCCCTGAAGACAGCTCTGCTGGTCGCGTTGATATCGATCAGAGGGTCGGGGACCCGGAGGCATTTTTCGGTCAGTGACTCGTGCCTGTAATTGGGCTGGCTTCTCTCACGTATGAGACCCCGCCCGCGATATGTGCCCAAGGTTCCTACCACTCCGTTTTAATACGAGGTAGTGAGCCTGCAAGCGCTGCCCTCGGAGGAGGCAGACCCAGCCCTTATTTATTGTCCAGTTCGCGTTTTGCGTATTATCCGGACCGCACTCAGAGTTTAGATCATCTGAGCAGCTCTTCGTCTGTTATAGCGGTCGGCAACAGGGAAGTGCCGTACCGAAATAAGTTCCCACTAGATTGTGGATGCCTTCTTTCACTATCAGAGCCGAGATGAGCCGCGTCCCCCGAGAGCGCGTGCGCACTCCACTCGGAGCTTCGCATCCTCTCGAGCGCACGCACGCGGCGCCCCTCTAACAGACATCTGTAGAGCTGCGGGCTGGGTGACACCCAACACATTTGCAAGGTTTTACAATCTGCGAGTGGAGCCGGTTTCCTCAAGGGTATTAGGTAACCCTTGGTGATTGAGGAAACAATTCGGTAGGGTGTTGAAACACGCTTGCTGCGCCATTTTCCCTAACACGGAGATACGTGCGCCTTTTTATCTGTCAGTAAAGTTCCCCGTCAGGTGAGCCCTGCAGATTCCTCCGTGGCCCCCAGCACTGACTCAGCGGAGGAGTCACTTGCTGGCCCACTACGTTGTAGGTCTGCCCGCTGGTCAGCCCGCGTTTTGGGTAAAGGTGCCTGCTATGCGTGGTCCCCACTAGGCGATCCCATATGCTTATTCAGCCACGGTTAAGTCCCCCCCTGGGCGGACCCGTGTCTTCCCTCCCCGCTAACCACTCTTTTGCTATGCGTACTCCCCCTTTTAGGGCTAGTCCATATGTAAATTCTGCCATCTATCCCCCCTTGGGTAACGGATGGCCTCCGCAGCGTCCTCCCTATCGGGATTGCACGCTTCCCAACGTACTGTCGTATTTCCTAGAATTATCTAGATGCTCACGACTTCCCAAAAAAATATATATAATCCGTAAAACTTCTGTTGAAGTAGGATAAATTAGGGCCAGGGACACGTTGGAGGACCGCGCCCCCCATGATGTGGGTGCGTCACGCTTGCTTGACTATCTCCTCATCGGGGGTGTTGGTAAGGTGCAGTCATTATGGCGCTTTCAATGGGCTCCCAATGCGTGGATTTTACAATCAAATCCACTTATAGTGCTGAAGTTCCCCCCGAAGGGGAACGTTCGAGGTTACTAAAGTAACCCTTCGTTCCCCGAGGAGGGGAACGGAAGCACTATACTCCGTCGCCATAATGACTGTCCCTTAGCTGTTGAAAGTCTCTTCAGCTTAAAAAGGATAGCGTCTGCTGGCGCCAGGTGAGCTTATATACTCAGTTGATTGCTTATGCCGCTCACCTGCGCAGGCTTGCGCTGCCAATTCATTCTTAATTGGCCCGTTCAATACTCTTTCAGACGAGTAGCTTCTGAACCGAACCTCCCAATGCGTGGATTTTACAATCAAATCCACTTATAGTGCTTCCGTTCCCCTCCTCGGGGAACGAAGGGTTACTTTAGTAACCTCGAACGTTCTCAATTCTCTTCATAAAGCTAGTTTTCCTCAGCTTTTAACAACTATTGATTCATATCTGTTTTAATTTGTCAGCCCATGCTATATTGAGCAGTCTCTTGATATTTATATTTCTGGATCAAAAATTTCCTCTTTAGTAGAGAAAAGAAAAAAAATGAATTGGAGAAATGAACAGTGATAGGAAAATATATATTTGTAAGTTTTTGCGTTCCCTCGCAAAGATGTTTTGCATTATCTCGCAAAGATGTTTTTCCACAAACACTTCCTGTTCACCTTATACATGTCAACCCTCCCATTTTTGCTGGGAATCTTCCATATTTTACCATTCTATCCCGCTATCATCCTATCATTAAGTATTTTCCCATGATTCTCATATATTTTTAATCTTGAAAGCACGCTGAAATTAATATTAAAATGTCTGCTTTCACTTTCTTTCCATTAAAGCTGTGCGTTGATCATCGCCTTTCATATGCAACCTCTGAATCAGCGAATGCATGTGTAAGCGCTGGCTGAGGGACGGACTCTGTATGATAAACTGATCCCAGATCAGCTTCTTTACTCGCCGTTTCAAGTGATACGTCTGTTATAAAACAAGTGTTAAGCAGCAAATGAATCTCTCATTTTGTTTTGTTTGATAACAGAGGTGTCACTTTAAGAGATCTATGATGAAAGCATTCGATTACTTTACTAACTGTTTGGGCTTATTTAAGAGAAGATTAGTTGTGTTCAATATATTATAATATATTTAACATTTTATTAAGTGCACTTGTCTGTTTAAATAAATCTGAAACACAATGTTTCGCTCCTGTTTAAATAGGGTGTACAGAAGATGATCTGGGATCAGATCATACGGAGCTTGTCCGTCAGTCGGCATGTATACATATATTCACTTATTCCAGGGGTGTGCACACTCGGTCCTGGAAGGCCGGTGTTCTGGAGAGTTTAGCACCAACCCTAATCAAACACACCTGAATCATCTAATCAAGCTCTTGCGAGGTATACTAGAAACTTCCTGGCAGGTGTGTTGAAGCAAGTTGGAGCTATACTCGGCAGGACACCGGCCCTCCAGGACCAAGTTTGGAGACCCCTGACTTATTTTGAATTGGTTGCATATGAAGGGCGTTCTTTTGCGAGCGAACTTAAATACATCTTTGCATTCCTTCGCAAAACATCTTTGTGCGACAACGCAAAGCATTTTTGCAAGTGAATTAAAAAACTTAAAAATAATTTTGTTGCACATTTAAAAAAAACTCAACACAGCTCCCAGGTCGTTATTGGAAACTCTTAAAGAACAAGATTGTTCCATCAAATGAAGAATGACACAATTATATAACATATTAAGAGAAAATCAAAAAGAAAACTCTGAAAATAAAAGTTCAGCATTGATCTAAGATACAAAAATGGATATTCTAGTAGAGGACTTGAATATAATTTGTTTGAAATGCACAAACAAAAACATTAAACTCCGGTTTGAGATTGCTACAATATAATTGGATAATGAGAACTTATATTACTCCTGTAAGATTAAATAAATTCAATCCTAAAATCCCTGATCTTTGTTTTAAATGCAAGAAGATAAAGGGCACATTTTTTCATCGTGTGTGGGAGTGTGAGGAGGTACAGAAATTTTGGGTGGAGGTGACTTAATATATTTCACAATTTATTTCCTTTTTAATTGTTTTATGTCCTGGATTATGTATATTAACTGTGTATGAAGACAGTTGTGCTTTGCCTACTAAAGAAAGAAAATTGATTGATTTATGTTTAATATAGGCGTTGTATTGCTTTAGTTGGAAAAATGTTAATCGCCCTCCAATTGGACTTTGGTTGAGAAACCTAATAGCATGTTTGGTTCTTGAAAAGCTCATATATATAATAAGGAAAAAAATCCTCTGAATTTTGTGATATCTGGGAGGTGTTTTTAAACTTGAAAAAATCTTTGGAAGTTGTGTAATGTGAATTGGTGCTTGATTACAATTTTTGTTTATTTTAATGAATAAATTAATTTTAATATTACTTTTATTTAAAATTATTTTTAATAAATATTATTATTTCAAATAAAAATCCTAAGCCTGTCTGGGGTAAGTTTTGGGTGTTGGGGTTTGAATTATTGTAAAACTTTGAAAAAAAAAAAAACTTAATAAAGACATGTCATACAAAAAAATATATTTTCTTATCACTTTGTTTTTTTTCTCCCTCCCATTTTTTTTTCTCCCACCCAGGTTTTATTTCTTCCACTCTTTTTCTCCCCACCATCACATCTTTTCCGGGTCTCCGTAGCGCCATGCTGTTTTGAAAGTGCTTTATAAATTAATGAATCTAAAACTAAATCATATAGATGTATTCACATTGATGATAAAGTCTGAAAAATAGTTTTAAGTCAGTGTAAACACCAGACTTCTGCCTAGCATTATTGACTCACACCCACATCTTTTCAAACACAACCTCAAGATAAAAGATGAATGGCACCTATAAGCATTTTATATAAGAGGAATTTTACAATGTTTGCTTACCTATATATCATCATTTGTCAAAGTTGGTTGATTTTCCCTGTAGGTTAGTTGTTTAAGTGATTGTCAGGGTTTTAAAAATGTATCTTGTTGGATTTTTTAAGTCAAACAGATCGTCTTTTTGCACTGTCACGGTTGAGGCAGAGTGGGGTGTTTCTCAACACTACAGAGGGAGTTTTACTGCAACTAGTGCAGGATGCCAAGCACCCCAACTTTAAAGAGGTACTGTACCTGATAACCTGTCTGTTAGTTACAGTGCTCAGCATATATAAGTACACCCCTCACAAATCTACCTTTTAAATAATAATTAATAATAATAATTAAATAATATTTTTAATAGGAAGCTATACAATGTTGCATTTGAGCATATACATTAGATTAGTCAGTACTGAAGCCAAATCTGGAGCTTATCTAACAAAATAACCTACGATAATGGTCCAAAAACTAGTACACCCAAATTTATATGTTATAGAAAAATAATAAATACAAATTTAATAAAGAGGAAAAATCAAGAGAAGCAAAAAAACGTTATAATTATTAAAAAGGTTATAATTATTTTTGCAATATTTTGCTTTAATTTAATTGTATTAGCTTTCAATTTCTAAATATGTTTAGTGACTAAAATAAAACTATAATAAATATATCTGGTTAATAAATCTGTTTTGTTTTAATGCACCAAAATGCATTGCCTGTAGTCATTGAGAAATTGATATAAATATTCATTTTTAAAAAGAGGTGTACTCAGTTATGCTGAGCACTGTATGATTTTATTATTTTACACATTAAAACATCATCATTTTGTTTCCTTGTCAGTGTTATATGCTCATTCCTATTTTTTAATTACATTTTCTTGTTATTTCAATAAATGTTAAATGTTCATGTGTCCTGATGTATGTCTAGTAGCTGCATAAATATGAAAATAAAAGGAAATGGTTATTAAATAGCTTAACCATTAACACAGGTTCCATTTTTCAGTTATTTTTACTGATGGACTGTAACAAGAGTTACTGGTGGAGTGTATAATAGAGATAAAACTAGTATGTTTGTTATTTTTACCTGCTTGCACTCTTGAATTATTATTAGTTATCATTACAAATTTAAAGAGTAAGTGATTTTCTTGCTAAATAAACAGTTACCAATGAGGGTCTTTTTTTTTTTTTATAAAAATCAACTGCTGTTGCCCTAAGAAGAATTAAATATAAAGCTATTAAAGTTATAACAAAGTTGCATTTTGTACATTTGACAGCCCTAATTCCAGTTTCCTTTTAAATGTTCAGGAAAACAATAATAGCGTTCTGTTCTGTTCTGAGAAAAGAAGGAGCTTTTTTGGAGCTTTTAGAGAACTACGCCTTTTTGTAACACCTTTTCTTAGATCTGATTGTCATTGCAGGTTGGTTTGTGTCTGAATGACAGCCTATATGAGGAATAGCAGAGGATTCTGTGTTGTTTGGGATTAAATTTGTGTTAAGGCTATTGTTCTCTTCATGTTCTGACCTGTCCTCTTTCATGTTTTTTTTTTGCATGCAGATCCAGAAACTCTTGGCTCACCCCTCCCCTGATACAGGCCTGCTGGCCTTCTTCAGCTCTCTATAGGGCCAGTCAAACACAGACCACACCCTGCAGACATAATTACAGAAATTATTAAAAATCAACACACACTGTTGTGTCAACCTGATGAACTCATGTGAGATCTGTGCATTTACATCCTTTCACAGAAACACAGATAATTAAAATGTTTAAATAAAACAAATGCAAAAAATATATATGTGTCAGAAGAACAGTTATAGATGAATTAACATGTTTGTAAACATTCAGGATGCGCACACAAGGAGGTGGCAGAAAAAAATGGGAATGCTAGCATTTATAGCAGGGGAATGACATCCGATGAGGTACAGAGTTTGTTGTTGTCTTAGAAATTAGGTATATTGATTACATATCATATATATTATTTACATAATTCTTTCAGCGTATTATAACAGCTTGTCACCCAGTTATAAGCACAGTGATTCGGCAAAATTACCGTTAAAGTGAGCGGCGTTAGTCTGACAGGTCCATCCTCACAATGAATATTGGATAAGTGAAAAGAACAAGCATACAGCCCTAAATATACATTATCTCATTGAAGCTCCAAGTATTTTAACAAGATGTGTGGTCATGTGCAAGAAATAGTGTTCCATGATTACTAGATTCAAAACTATGCAGTTCTAAAAACCGAGGTTCTGCCTAACCAAAGACAAGGAAAGAAGACAGAGCTAACGTTATACAAGGCTGGGTAATCATTAACAAGCAAAACTATTGCATTCTGACAGCGGACTACACCTTAACTTGTGAACTTGCATATAAAGGTAAAGTTAGTTTTAAATTCACAAATTCGGACTTTCTTCTTAAAAATATAATTTCATAAAAGTATTATTTGCAAACTCTAAATAGCGAAGTCATATTAGCAGCCAATGGCTATCAAAGTACAACATTGTTTACAGTCAAATAAAGTGTTAATGTTGCTTTCAAGTCACACTTGCAGGTTATTTCAGACCGAATATTCAAAGTGCCTTGGTAAACAATATAGGGAGTGTGTCCAGGTTGTCACTGAATGAATGTGTAATTATAAAACCAACTTTACCTTAATAACTTACACTTTCAAGTTTCATTCTTAGCATTTAGTGTCCGCAGTTTAATTAACCATATGTAACTGTTTATGCTGAAATCATTGCTGCAATCAAAAACGAGTAATGTGTTTGATTCAGCATAGCGTTAACTGACCTGATATAAGATGAGAACTGCAGAGTCCAGCATTTTTAATTAGGTTGTCACCCTATTTAGCTCCCTTTTAGCCAAAGACATCTGCAGTTGACATTAAAAACAGTGTGGTATATGGTAAATGATAAGTTTTCCATTTTTGGACTTTCAAATTTGGCATCCTACTGCACAACACGGCATGTTTACTATTGCCAGCGGTCTCTTTTTGCAACCGGAAACCCATCAGACGTAGGTTGGTAATTCGTCTGTTGGTAAGAATAAAATTAAGTTAATTGAGTATCATAACTATCAGTTGGTATTTTACAGCATTTGTGGTTACACTAAGATCTCAATAATGTTAGCTAATGCATGAAATTAAAATAGGCTCAGTAGAGTTACCCTACAGCAAATCACATCCTTCAACAATGATATTGAACTGAACCTAATCATCATTTGAACTAGAACAAATTCCGCAGAACTGAATGTGCTTAATATACCAAACCTGTTTCACACAAATAAAGCTTCATATCTGATTTTAGATTATTACCTGTTTTCTATTTGATAAAAATCTGCATTGTATAAAGTGCTATAAAAATAAAAGTGATTAAGTTAAATTACAAAATATTTATTACTGTGTTTAGTAATCTTAGGTTAAAATAAATTTATATCTAATAAATAATAATGACAGGTATAATTTTATGTATATTTACATTTACATTTAGTCATTTAGCAGACGCTTTTATCCAAAGCGACTTACAAATGAGGACAAGGAAGCAATTTACACAACTATAAAAGCAACAATGAATAAGTGCTATAGGCAAGTTTCAGGTCTGTAAAGTCTAAGAAGGAAAGTAATAGTCTTTTTTTTTTTTTTGAGTACAGTTAGTAGTATATCTAGAGAGGCAATTGCAGATTAGGAAGTGAAGTGGAGACTAAATAGTTGAGTTTTTAGTCGTTTCTTGAAAACCGAGTGACTCTGCCATTCTGATGCAGTTAGGCAGTTCATTCCACCAACTGGGCAGATTGAATGCGAGCGTACGGGAAAGTGATTTCTTCCCTCTTTGGGATGGAACCAGGAGGCGACGTTCATTCACAGAACGTAAGTTTCTGGAGGGTACATAGATCTGCAGAAGTGAGAGCAGATAAGAAGGGGCGCAGCCAGAAATCGCTTTGTAAGCAAACATCAGAGCTTTGAATTTGATGCGAGCAGAAACTGGCAACCAGTGCAAACGAATGAGCAGCGGAGAGACATGTGCTCTTTTAGGTTCATTAAAGACCACTCGTGCTGCTGCATTCTGGAGCAGCTGAAGAGGCTTGATAGAGTTAGCTGGAAGCCCCACTAGCAGAGAGTTGCAGTAGTCCAGTTTGGAGAGAACAAGAGCTTGAACAAGGAGTTGAGCTGCATGTTCAGATAAGAAGGGTCGGATCTTTCTGATGTTATAGAGTGCGAATCTGCACGATCGAGCAGTTCTAGAAATGTGGTCAGAGAAGTTTAGTTGGTCATCAATCGTTACTCCAAGGCTTTTCACCATTTTGGATGCAGTAATGGTTGCCCCATCCATCTGGATTGAAAAGTTATGGTGTAGAGTCGGGTTGGCAGAAATATATATATAATATATATCATTCCATGATGTATATAATAATGGAATGATGACCTAAGAAAAATAAATATAAAAATTAATTTAAAAAAATATTTTTTTGTTGTTTTTTCATGTTAACTAACGAATGTAAATCATTTATACATTAATATTAGTTCATGTTAACTTCCACCTCTTTTAAAAAGATGTATCACTAAACAAATGAATAAAACTTTTTGGTTTTCCCCTGCAAACAAACTGTGACTGGTTCAGTCCTCAAAGCAGTTTATTTACCAGCTGGAAGCTCAAACACTGTACTGACTTAGTGTTTGAGCGTTGTTCGCAGTGACTGCAAAACCACAGTGCAACAAATCACCAGCAGCTGCAACAGTGGTGACCAGGGCAATGTGTCTCAGTATACAGACTATCAATGACTTATGCGTAAAAGATGCAGTAGCGATGATCAAATCAAATCACTTTTATTGTCACATCATCAGCAGCACGTGTGCTGTGATGAGTGAAAAGCTTAGTTGCTGGTTCCAGACAGTGCAAAATACAGACGGTACAAATACAATGACAATGCAAAATACAGACAGTGCAAAATACTACAACGTATAACAACATACTCCCAGAAAAACAGGATAATGTAAAATTGGCAGATGTAGACAGTGATATGTACAATGTATTGGTGTACACATAGTTGTAGCCAGTATTGTTTTAAGTATGGGTTGGTTAAAGTGCAGTGCATGCTACATATTGATGGTGTGCAGTGAGGGATATGGAAGAGTTTATGTGGGGTGTGTTAAGTGTTCATCAGCCTGATAGTCTGAGGGAAGAAGCTTTCCTTCAGTCAGCTAGTTGCGTGACCAGATGCTGCGGAACCGTCTGCCTGAGGGTAGCAGAGAGAAAAGTCTAAGGCTTGAGTGGCTGGAGTCGCTGATGATTCTCTTGGCTTTCCTCATGCACCTGGTGTAGATGTGCTGGATTGAGGGAAGGTCACCTCCTACTAAGCGTCCAGCAGTTTGCACAATCCTATGTAGGCCTTTGCGATTGCTACTGGTGCTGTTTCCATACCTGGTGGTGATACAGCCAGCCAGGATGCTCTCCAAAGTGCAGGTGTGGAACTAGCGGAGGATGTGGGGGCTCATTCCAAACCTTCTGAGACACCTGAGGAAGAAAAGCTTTGTGCCTTCCTCAGCACTGCGTCTGTGTGAGCAGCCCATGTCAAATCCTCAGCGATGTGTACTCCTGGGTCCAGTTGAGTTCTTGTGGTAACAGTAAACCATTGCCAACAAGTGAGGTATAGGATCTGGAGCAACTTTGAATCTTGACAAGGTGTATGGAAACAAACCATACAAAATGTTGGGAACAATTCAAGAAATAGGCACAAGATTATCAACTTTGATTACTGTAAAGTGCCCTGATCTGACAAATCAAGATTCCTGGTCCATTATGCCAATGGTGAAGCACAGATGCACTTATTATCAAAAGAGGCATACACTGTTTAGTGACACAACCATTAGCAGAGTTTTTTTATGCTATGGGCAATGTTTTCTTTGGACACCTTAAGCCCTTTTATCAACAACACACTATCTGGCAGCTGTCAGATGTTTGAATTTTGTGCACCAACTGATGGCAACAGCATTATGCACCATGCAAAAATCACCAACAAAGGTTAAACCTATGCAGATGATTTTTCTGTTTATGGCTTGGCCTCCAAATTCCACTGACATAAACCCAATCAAACATTTAATGTTCAATAGAAAAGAAAAAGAAAAGCTGGTTCAAGCTGCATCACCACCGCTCTGCAATGTTCGAAAACTGGAGGTCCTGATGTTGACATTTTGGTACCAGAAACACCAACTGACCCAGCCGAGGCTCGAACCAGCGTCCTTCTTGCTGTGAGGCGAAAGCACTACCTACTGCGCCACTGCGGCGATGGTATTAACAGGATAGTAATTTTGTCGTTTACTCACCCTTTACTTTCCTAGAACTTTTTGACACAAAATAATGTATTTGAAGAAAGTCGGAAAACCTGTAACCATTGACTTGCACAGTAATACGTTTTCCTAGAATGCCAACGCTACAGGTTTTCAATTTTCTTCAAAGTATCTTATTTTGTATGAGGCGCTGTGTAGGATTTAAATCAAACTTTGCTCATCAGCACATACATAAAACACAGCTTCTTTTCTGTTTAATAACTACTTATATTTGTACAGCAGCTGGCATCTAGCATTTTGGTGCATTAGCCTATTTATTAGAGACAGGCAAACCCATTTTAAAAGTGCATTCCTGCCCCCTACTGGACATAAGGGTTTATCGCAATAAAAAAAACAAATTATTCATTCATTCGTTCATTTTCTTGTTAGCTTAGTCCCTTTATTAATCCGGGGTCGCCAGAGCAGAAGGAACCGCCAACTTATCCAGCAAGTTTTTACGCAGCAGCAGGTCCGGATTGGCCAATCGGGAGGCTTCCCGGTGGGCTGGTGTTTCTAGCTTTTTTCATTTTTTTTCATTTATTTATTTGACCATAGCCTTAATCTTGTTATTTATTATTTTGCCGCAGCTCCGCTCTTCTTATATATTGTCTCACAGCCCCATAAGCAAAATGCAGCCTGCAGGGTAATGATGATGTAACTATCATTCCGGCCACACAAGCGTAACAGCGCCATTGTGGTCCAGTGGTCAGCACGTTGCGTTACTATGTCGTCGATCTGTGTTCGATTTTCACCTGAGTAATTTTTCTTTTTTTTTCATTTTTATTGTTAAGACATATAAAACTATAAGGTTTTGAACATTTGAAATTCTAAAGCAGCTGTTTTCTTGAAAAAGATGTGATAGTGTAATTAGAAACTGAATTGGAAATGACCTTATTTTAATATAGTCAGTCGTAAACTGAGGTGGGCCCGTCGAATGCTTGAAACTCCTAGCCTGAAAAGGAGTCCCACTCCGGCCCTGCGCAGCAGATGCCCTTCCAGCCGCAACCCATCTCTGGGAAACATCCACACACACTACGGACAATTTAGCCTACCCAATTCACCTGTACCGCATGTCTTTGGACTGTGGGGAAAACCGGAGCACCCGGAGGAAACCAACGCAAACGCAGGGAGAACATGCAAACTCCACACAGAAACGCCAACTGTGCCAAGTCTCGAACCAACTACCCAGCGACCTTCTTGCTTTGAGGCAACAGCACTACCTACTGTGCCACTGCTTCGCCACAAACAAACGAATATTAAACAAATATATTTTATTCTAAATAATTACCTATGCAACCTTATATTTATTAAACTCATTGTTTTGCAATAATTTAATTGCATTATAAACCTTATAATTTGCTGGAGTATTTCTTAGCATTATTTTTTTTATATTTTATTTTATAATTAGCATAATTTATTTCATTATTTAACAGATGTAATTCTTCCATTAATAGCTTTATTTCTATTTCCCAAGCTTTGCAGTAACCTGATTCATGATAAATAATGATCTCGTCCTTATGCACCCAAAACGCTGAAATTAAACTGAAACGACTTCCTTTTACACTGAGAATTCATGCACATACACAAATGAAATCACTTGCATATATGTAAATACACAACTAAATGTATATATGTTTGTGAATTTTGTTTTCAATGTTTGCACAAGTGTTCTGTGGGTGTTTATGCTCGCATCCAGTTTATATTCATATTCAGAGTTTATAGGTGCACATGCATAAAGTTTATATGTATGTGTCTTTGATAATGTGGGTGTGCAAGGATCGAGTTTATGTGAGTGTATGCTTCAAGTTTTAATGTATATATGCAAGTTTTATATATATTGTTTTGAATATCCAATATGTTTATGCAAGTAATTTATGGGTGTATATGCACGTGTTTTATGTATGTTTTGATTACAGTAGTTTGATTTAATTCCCACAGTGCACCCAATATTTTTTGTGTGTTCACAAAAAGACAGTAACGCAAAGGTTTAGAACCTTGTGAGAATTTTATTTATTTATTTATTTTTTGGGGGGTGAACTATCCTTTCGATAAGTGTGTGATGCTTTTGTTTTGGTTTGGTTTTGTCCCCACATTAACAACACGTGTTTGGCAAGTCTGAAATCCATCAGGATGCAAAGATCACTACGTGACCAAGAAAACCTGAATGGAAATTATTACAGCGGTTTCCCGCTTGTTGCTCCACTGCTCTCCCATTTCAGCAGCGAAACAGGAACTTACTAGTTAAACAGAACAGCCACGAGAGGAGGAGAAACGCACCGACTTCTCAAATGTCAGGCGAAGGGTGGAGAGTCGATGACGTTCGACGCTCGCAGAAAGGGAGGGGCAACGAGAAAGAAAGGGAAGAACTTTTTCCGACAGGGTTTTTCTTCTTCTTCCAAACAGAATTTCCAAACAAAACGTGCTAATATTGTGGCTTCAGACTCTGAAAGAATGTTGCGATAAACAAACGAGAGAAGAGGAGGAGGACAGTTAAACGAGATCATCTTCCTCCCTGCAACAGATGACAGCATTAAACACTGACACTGACACAGCTTGAAGTCGGTGGCCTATTGACAGCATTAAGGTAACGTTATGTTTTCACTATTATTTGATATTAATGCAGTTCGCTTAGTTGTTTATAATCGAAATAGACAAAGCTGTGTTGTTTGTGACGTGCAGTAACTCTTGGTGACCACGGTTAGCTTAGTTTTATAATTGGACTTTAGTTTGACATGGGCGAAAATGATCATTTATCACGCATTCAAGCCAAAGCTTGTTTCCTCGCACAGCACAATTTAAAATTTTAAATACGTTTTATGTTTTACATGTAACGTTATTTTTATTTAATTTTAGCTAAATTTAACCCTTTGTAATTATGACATCATCCTAAATGCGATGTTGCTAAACATACTTTTGTGACACAAGCCTCTGCTTATGAAGTTTATTTTCTGTTCGCTTTAAGTAAATGTAGCACGGGGGCAGGTACTGTTCTAATTCAGTCAATGAATATTATTGAACCACACAAAAAATGCTGGGTTTCACACAATTCCTTCATGTTGTCCCAACACAAATTGATTACGTTTAATTAATTGTTTTTACAAATTTAAGTTGATTGAACACAAAACAATTAAGTTATTGCAAAAAAAGAATTGTGTTGATTCAGCTGAAAAAAAAACCTTTACTTGTTTAAAACCTGGTGCATAATCAGTGACATGAAATGGTCTTAAATTAATAGGTCACCCAAATGTGAAAATGTACTCGCTTTTCACTTTTAATGGTTCCGAACCTTTATGATTTTATTTTTCTTCTGTTGAACACAAAAGAAGATATTTTGAAGAAATCTGTAACCATAGACATCTATAGCATTTGCTGTTCCTACCATGGAAGTCAAACAGATTTTCAGTTTTCTTTAGAATAACTGCTTTTTTTGTGTGTGTTCAACATTAAAAGGAAACTCATAAAGGTTTGGAACCACTGGGTGGAGTGTAAATAGTGAAAAAACTTTAATTTTGGGGTGAACTATAACCTAAACTGTGGTCACTTAACATAATATTGAATTTAATTTTATTTGACAGATTTTAAACAAACTACAAAAATACAAGTAGCCCATACATTTTGAAATAAAACCGCAGAGGATAAAAACACAATAAAGCCCTGGGCTTGTTTTCATTGTGGTCCTCGCTGATAAAAAAACAAAGTATGGCTGCAAATTACAGTTAATGCATAAAACAAACAGTGCCTCCACATTTTAAAACAGAAACAAAATTATTCACAATACAATAACATATAAAAAAAACTCATCATCTATCTTTTGATCTTTTTTTTTTGATCATCCTTAAGTCTTTCATTTCCTTGATCTAATTTGGTAAATTGTTCCACATTATTGCACTTGTATATAAAAACAAATTTTTCCCCACTACACTTCTAAATTTAAATAAACAAATATTAAAATCCCAACACTTTAAATGAATGCTGTTGATATGAATGCTGTTGCGTCACTATTTAAAAATAGTTCACCAAATTACTAAGAACCACAATATTAAACATTTTATGTATCTTTTCCAGTGTTAAAAAACATACTCTTACCTAATCTTACCCATACTCGTATTTAGGGCCAGACAGAATCTGTTGACGTTTTTTGCTATTTTAGTGCAGAATTTTGTAAAAAAAAAAAAAAAAAAACCTTATGTGAAATGATTTATGGGAGTGTCATAGCGGAAAATGTAATAGATAAAATAAAAAAAGAATACCTTTTTAACTTTTTTTTAATGTTTACATTGCAAATCCAAATACTGTAGATCCACTTATTTGATAAACAAAGCAAGTCTCTCATGTAATACATCTAAAACTAATCTCTTAATATATCTACTAAAAGACATAAAATATTACTTAACAAACTGTATTGTAAATAAATCATATGAACATTTTTATATTAGTCAATAATATTGCTGAAATTAATTTCAAACCTGAATAAATATACATTTACATGCATTTACACAAGTAAATAAATAGACTCAATGATGGGCTAAAAATATGTGGAAATCTATGGATTTCTGCGCGCACCCATTCTGTGTGGGCCTACGCCTACCCAATTCTTTAAAACCTCTTTTGCTCTAGGATGAATGTTTGAAATTATTAGTACCTATTTATTTTGTGCCTTTTGCAATTTTTCCTTCATACTTTGTGAGCAGTTACTGTACCAAAATGAGGTAGCATAATCAAAGCTCCTGCTAATCTTTCATTATTTTTTTTGCTTTTTTGACACTGTTTTGTAGGTTTTTCGTTAGTCCAAATATAATGTACTGGATTATGACTACAAATGAGTCCAACATTGTGATACAGGTCTTAAACTTCATTCACAGTAGTCTCAAGTCTTAAATTTGACTTGGTGAAATCTGCAGACACCCTGCCTTAAATTACTTTCTTGCAACAAACTTAAAACTGGACTGCATGGGTTACAGTGTTTTCCTCATAATGTTTTTCTTTTCTTTCTTTGCACCACAGACAACATCTCCTCGAGCATGACGTCTGAACTGGATTCTAGTTTGACCAGCATTGACTGGCTCCCACAGCTGGGTATCAGCACCTTGCGTTCAGGGAAAGAAAGAGTGGAACGGAAAAAAGAGCGAGGAAGAGAGAAGGATATCCCTCTGATACCCGCACTGTCGCCGGGGTCGAACTCCAAAGTGAAGCCCCCTCACAGCTACGCCACCCTGATCGCCATGGCCATCAGCTCGGCTCCTGAAATGAAGCTGAGTTTGAATGATATTTACACTTGGATCAGCGATACGTTTCCGTATTACTGCAGAGCAGGAAGAGGATGGAAGGTAAATGCCAGACCACTACATGACCACTTCCTGGTGCTAAATAATGCATCGTGTACCCAGCAGTGCTTGAACAGGGTATAGAAAGCCTATATAGAAACTATTTTGAAATATACACAAACTCTGCTGCTGAGTTACTTTTACTCAGTTTAGAGAGGGACCAAATACTATAGAAGTTGAATACATTTTACTCAAAGGACTTAGAGATTATTTTTTGCACATAAGAGAGGAATTCATATCCTAATGGAAAAAAAGAATTATCATGAAGAGGTTTTTTTTAAGGTAGGGTTTGTTCCATTTAGTTCTAAATTTGTGTTTAAGAACATTATTTAGAAATTACTATTTTAGGAAATTTGAAAACAAATATATACATATAAATAAATATATTTTCAAACATTTCAGACTTGAGTATATATAATAATGAAGATATATTTTCACATCTTGAAGGTACAGCACGTTTTTATTATTGCGTTTTTATTATTTGTTTTTATAGAATGTCAAAGCAATAAATTAATTAATACATTTTATTGAATAGTGTCAGTGTAACTATACAAATTGGGTGTTTTCACACCTGCCTTTATTTATTTGGTTGAACCACACTAGAGTTGGTTTTCCATCTTGATGCGCTTTGTTTGGGCTGGTGTGAATGTAGCAATCGCACTCTAGTGCGCACCAATAGCAGGCCAAACAAAGCATACCGAGACGTCCTTGAATAGGGGGTCTCAGTACGCTTTCAAACGAACCCTAGACCGGTTTGTTTGAGGTGAGAACGTGATCTGAACTAGAACAGACCCAACCGCAAAAAGCACTGCGCCTTTTTGGACTAATTTAGCTGCTGTAGACTGATGTGCTGTGCATTATGGGATGTGATGGAAAAATAGTTGTTGACAGCACTTTACCAACGATTTAAACAGAGAGAGAGAGAGAGAGGGAAAACATTACCTGATGGATTGTTGGTAATATTTCCAGAAGATGACCATGTCGCAGTTTAGTTACATTCGGTTATGCCTCCTCCTGAAGTGACTTCCGATGCGCCTTCGCCATTTGTAATGCACTAAAACATTGTTTTTCAGCCGCAGCTTCATTCTCGCAATGTATAGTTTATCTAAAGTGACGTATACAAGCTATATAGTATACTATGACCAGGGATGCAATCTGCCAGCGCAGTCGTCCCTCCGTAGTAAAAAGTGACATTTTGTGTCTTCCGGTTTGTTTACTTGCGAGAGTTCCATTTGCATTTTCCCGCACGTCAATTCTGACCAATCGAAAAGCAGTTTGGGAAATACATTCTGGCCAATGATTGATGTGGATTTTGTCACATGACTGCATTTTGGTTCTTTTCAACTGGTTTGGACAAAATAAATCAGTGTGGTGTGAAAAGGACCCAAAAATGGCAGAAAAATGCTACAATGTATGATTTGTTGCCCTTACCGAGGGATGCCGCAATACTCTATTGAACCATTTGGTACGACCTTCACGGTTCAGTACACAGAGAGATTTTTTTTTTTTTTTGGTTTTGAATTAAAAAAAATAAAAATAATTAGCATTTTCCCCATTGCTTTAATTACTCTCTGAATTGGCTCTCTGCATATTAAAATTGATGTCCATGTGCCGAAACACAGCACCCCGTGAGTAATGTTCTACCACTGAGATGATGGGATAAAATGGGATATGAAATATGATTCTGACAGTATGATAATCTTGGATAAAACTGTCACGGTTACACAGTATTGTGATTACTGCCCTAAAATATGTTCCTTTTAAATGTCTGCGTAAAAAAACATCTTTTTTTTAAGAAACATTTCTGATAGTTTTAAGAAACATTTTAAAAGATGTTTTAAGAAACATTTAAAATATTTTGGAACAAAAAACATGTCGGGCTAAATAATGAAAATTAGACCTCTGCTGCCTCGATTAATTTCAAAAACACAGATTTCTTTACAATTTAAAAGAGCATCTTTGGATATCTGTTCTGCTGGAGATACTATTGTCCTAAAAAAACAAACAAACAAACAAAAATAAATAAAAACGTTAAAGAAAATCTTACAAATACTGTTGGAACGGCAGTTTACCTTGAAAACAGTTATTGTCCTATGCCTAGTGTGCGTGGTCCAGAATCCCAGAACTCACATATTGCCTCATCTGAAGCGCTGAATGAAAGCTACAATGCTCAATTTAAGTCTTTCTTTTTCTTCAACGGTAAAATTAAATTATGACCAATAATTATGTCCACCTGTGTGACTTAATGAGCATAAACAATCAGTCATTCTTTGGAATGTAAACATTCGGGAAGTTGTGTTGTCTGTAACTTTCTCATTGTGCTGCATTTAATATTAAAAATAGACAAAAGATAATGAAATCACTATGTGCCTGACTGAATAGAAAACACACTCTTTCATCTTTCATCTTTATAACATTAACTGACACTGCACCAGTTTTTGCACATTTGCACCATACACTTTCTTACACACTCACAAAAAATATCACTATGCATTTATGAAGTGTGCTTCACACAGGTGAGTGGGCTTGACCAACCACCCGTAGAAAAAGTGTTCCCCCCACTTTCAAACAAACAAACAAACAAACAAACAAACAAACAAACAAACAAAAGGCATTCCCTTACTCTAGCACTTAATTCTTTGAGCACTAACAGTTCCTTTGTATTATTAGCACATCCTGTGTGTACTTCCTCTTCGTGTTGATTTGCTGGATGTCTCCTTAATTGTAAGTCACTTTGGACAAGAGCGTCTGCCAAATGACTAAATGTAAATGAACAGCTATCTCATTAATGGTTAATCCTTAAATCCTTAATTTATACAGTGAGGATTATACACAGTATGCAGTGTATATTTTTCAGTTGTAAAATTACTGTTATGTACATAAAAAAAAAACTGAAAAGCACTGTTTATTTTAGTATTATCTTTGCTATATTGTATTTTGTATTGTATTTTTTACTGAACATATCATACACTGACCCGTACCAAAACTGTCACCTAAAACCGAGCCAAACAGTGAGAAGTCTGTATTGTTGCATCCCTGGTACACTTAAAACTACTTCTTTAAAATGAGATGAAACAACACTTGGGTTTTAGAGTTTTCTTTTTTTCCCAATACCTTAATTGCTTTATGTTGAATCCACTTAAATTTGTAGAAAAACAAAATAAGTTTCCTTAATTTGTTCATGTTTTCCTAACAAAAATTAATTGTATGGAATGCATGTATGTACTTACACTGTAAACAATGCTGGGTTCCACATAATCTATTTGTCTTGGGACAACATGAAGGAGTTAACTTATTAGTTTTTACAAGTTTAAATGGATTGAACATAAAGTTAATGACTTTATCCTCTAAAAAACTGAACAATTGTGTTGTTTCAGCTTATTTTAAACAAATAATTTGAACAAATGGCAAGTGATGTTTTTGGTTAGAGTTAGAGTTGCATATAATTATGCAAAATGTATTGTTATTATTATTGTAACCGCATGTATCGTGTTACAATGAGACTAAAAATATCATAGAAACATAAATAAACTTTTAATAATAATAAATTATAAATAAATCCACAAAAATAGTTTACATTTTTACGTCCTTATTTATGTAAATATACGTAGTTTTTCCATATTTATTTATTCATGTATTTATTTACACATTTATTTATTTTCACGTTTATTTTTCCCATATTCATCTATTCTTTATTTCTTTCATTTTATTTTGACGTGTATTTTGGCAGCATCCCATAATTTGTCACACAACAATTGAGAGTATATCCGTTAAAATCACTCATCGTGTCTTAGATAACTAAAACAAGCTCATTGTAGTTTTTCAAGTTTCAAATGTCGTTCATAATACAGTTCAGTGTTTTTGAATGTTTTAAAAACATTTTTAAGCAACACTAAGCTTGATCTCAGCGCCCTAAATGTTTTACAGAAACTATATTACCAGCATCACTTAACCAGTTTGTGCTTGTAAAGATGCCATTTTTTTTCTTTACTCACATTTTTTTTTCTTGATGGACAGATTGACGTTATGCTCTCCATTTGCAGCATATTATGCAATATACAGGTGGTGATACACAGAGATATGGGAAATGTGTTGCAATCCCTTCAGAAGGTTTTCTCAAGTAAATTCATGAAGTGATGATTCATGATATATGATACTCTTTCACTGGAAATGATAAAAACTCTGAGGAATCTACTATATGCAGATTTTAGGAACTGTTTTTTATGTACAGTACATGTACAGTTTACACGGTCTGAAAGTTTGGATTTGGTAAAATTATAATTTATGTTTATTTTTTTTCCGGTTGTTTATTTTTCTCCATACTGAATGTTCATTATTTATTTTTATTTTTTCAAATGCTTTCCATGGTACCTGGGCTGTATTTATTTGATCAGAAATGCAGTACAGTAATAATATTGTAAAATAATATTACAATTTAAGATAGAATTCTATTGAAATATATTTGAAAAGGAAATGTATTTCTCTAATCTGACATTTCAGCACCATTACTCACTACTCTTACATCTTTCAGATTACATTCTGATATAATTATTTGATTATAATTATAATAATTGTTATTAGTTATTATTAAGTTATTAATATTTATAACTTAATAATTATTGAGTTATTATTGTTATTAATCATGAAAACAGTTGTTTCTTTTATTCTCTTATTATTACATTATTCTAGATTCAGACAGAATTTTTAAAGGATTATTATTTATTTATTGTAGAAATATTTTATAAGATTTTTACATATTTTACTGTCACATTTAATTAATTTCAGCTTTAATGAATAAAAAAGGATTTCTTACCCCACTCAAAACTATTAAACAGTACTGTATGAAAAAATTGTAGATACAAATAGACGCATATGTTTTTTTTTTTTTTTGTTCTCTTAGAACTCAATTCGCCACAATTTGTCCCTCAATAAATGTTTCCGGAAAGTTCCTCGACCTCAGAGTGATCCTGGAAAGGTGAAGTCCAATCATTTCATTGTTTTGTTCTTTGATATCTACAGTTAGTTATTTGACATAATATTATTGTTTCCATACTTAAACCTTTTCATACATTTTAAATACTCTCTAACCCACAGACTTCTAGGATTACTTTACCTTAATCTAAAATAATTACCTGTTTTAGGGATCATACTGGACAATGGATGTACCGCCTGAATCCACTCAACCGAGAGGAGTCAAACGTCCTTATACTGATGATGAACATGTAGTAGTAAGTAGACCTGTCACAATAATCATTAATGATTATCAATCGACATTTCAGGCAATACATACAGTAGACATGACAGTTTAAGGGCCTACTCACACTATGCCATCCATACCGTGCCCACGTTTGAGAAGTGTGAGTGCGCTGAATCAGGCTCATGCACGGTTCACTTGGCCAGCCCTGGCCCGGTTGAAAGAGGTGTGCCTGAGCCAGGTTCACTTGGGCTTTGCGCGGTACGCTTGTGTGTGAGTGCAAAACGCGCCAAAGCCCGAAACTGAAAGCGAGACGTGACTTTTACGGGGCTGTTTCATATGCCGTAGTTTATTAAAGACGCAAACCCCTCACTGCACGACAGCTGCGCGCCTTCAGCAGACCTCCTCATTCCTGCAGCACGAAAGCTTTATGATTGTTTATAAGCGCCAAAAGTGGCGGATCTGTTCGGCGAAATGTCTGACTGCGTGTCCCCGCATCCCTAAGGACTGTTTGGCGAAATATTTGACGGCATATCAAACAACTGAAACGATATAACTAGAGAAATCTCCACTGTGATGCTTAGTGAGAGAGCGCTTCTCACTGAACAGCGCAGCAGCGATGACGTAAGCGTGCCGAAGCCCGTTTGTGGTGTGAGCGCGGGCCGTCGGAGGAGACGGGAGGGGGGACAAGCGTGCTTTGGCCCGGTTCGGGGCAACTGTACCTAGTGTGAGTACGGCCTAAATCAGGTGTGGCCAACCCTTATCCTAGAGAGCCACCTTCCTGCAGATTTCAGTTGCAACCCATATCAAACACATCTGCCTGTAATTATCCCGTGGTGTTCAGGTCCTAATTGATTGGTTCAGGTGTGTTTGATATGGGTAGCAACTGAAATCTGCAGGAAGGTAGCTCTCCAGGAACAGGGTTGGCCACCCCTGGTATAAATCGTCTGTAATGTTTACTTAAACATGAATGTCATCAGCATTAAACTCCTTCAGAAACAATGGTTACTGACAGACAAAGAATGGTTAAGTTTTCACATTTTCCTAAAAACTACTAACAGTTTGGAAACTCCATTTCAAGTCTGCAGTGTGCGTCCTTAAAAGTGACAAGTCACAAATAATGTCAAAGGCATTTTACCAGCACATTTACTGTACATTCCACATCACCCGCATCAAAGATGACATAGAGACATTTCCTTTTTTCCTTTTTAATCAAGTTACAGAATCTAAATAACCTCAAAAATGAATAGTTTTGTCCCTAGAAAGTAATTGTGCTTATTTGCATTATTATGCTGTTGTATAATCAGAGGTGGCAGCACGGTGGCTCAGTGGTTAGAACTATGGCCTCACAGCAAGAAGCTCGCTGGTTCGAGCCCCGGCTGGGTCAGTTGGCATTTCTGTGTGGAGTTTCTCTCTGTGTTGGCGGTGGTTTCCTTCAGGTGCTCCGGTTTCCCTCACAGTCCAAACACGTGCACTATGAATGAATTGGATGAACTAAATTGTAGTGTATGAGTGTGTGTGAATGAGTGTGTATAGGTGTTTCCCAGTACTGGGTTGCAGCTGGAAGGGCATCCTCTGCGTAATAGTTGGCGGTTCATTCCACTGTGGCGACCCCTGATAAATAAGTGACTAAGCCAAAGGAAAATGAATTACGAATTAATAATCAGAGGCATGAACTGGTCTGAAAGGAACAGTTCACCCAAAAAATTATTATTTACTTTAAGAGTTTCTTTCTACTGTTAAACACAAAAGAAAATATTTTGAAAAATGTTGGAACCATTGACATCCACAGTAGGAATAAAATTCCATGAAAGTCAATGGCTACCAGTTTCCAAAGTTTTTCTAAATATCTTCTATAGTGTTTAACAGAAGAAAGAAACTCAAACATGTTTGGAACTAGCGAAGGCTGAGTAAATGGTGAAAATTTTAAGTTTTGAGTGAAATGTGTCTGATGTGTGACAATAAAATGAGTTGATCATATATTCACATAATAATATGATCACAATAATTAAATCACAATGACAATATTTCACGCAAGAAAAATTATTTGTCGAGACAGGCCAAGAAATAATCACATGAAGGATTTCATCACATCTGTGAGATCAATATTTCACTCACTAATACTTTTGTTTCAGACTCCTTTCCCAGAGACACAACTGCCTGCCAATCAACCGGAGCCCCTCCCCCCTCAGCCAGACACCAAGAGCACATTCCCTCCTCCTCCATGCAAGGTTCGAAGTCATTTCTTCTGCTTTCTGTTTCCATTAAGATCCTCTTAACCCAGAGCTTGAGGCTTAAAACTAAGGAAATGAGAGTGAGATGAACAAAATAGAACGGTTCTGTCACTTCCACTTATAATGAATCTAAATGCATGCATAGTTCAGACATATAAGTTTAGGGGCATTTACAGGACGCTAGGTGTGCAGGTGCAGAGTTTTCAGCCTTTTTAGACATTTTCAAAGAACCAAAAGACAAAAAACAAACTTTTAGGAACATTTAAAATATGTTTATATGAAGCAAAATTCATATTTCATATTTGTCAGAATTTTCTCACCCTTACGTTTAATTACTTATCCATGCAATGCAAAAACGTTTGTCAAGCTTCAATAAGAATTAAAATCATTATGAAAATAGCCGGTATGACTTGTGTGCTATTTTACAAGCTGCAGCTTAAGGATGGAATATGAATAATTTCTTTTAATGTTTTCTTCCATAATATGATGTGGAGTATTTACATTTGTAACAAGTTGTTGAAAATGACAAAAGTTTAGGTGGCTTTAATCATTGGTGCTTTTTTAAATTGGAGTTTGAGATGTGGGAACTGCACTCAAATCAGTGTGGGTTTGCGTTAAATTACGAAAGAATGAATTCCTGCATACATCACAAGAGAAAATGTGTTTTTGTCCAGAAGAGTTATATTTTGTGTAGATGTAGTGGATTTTCAACCACCGAAAATGCCATTTTTGGTTTTTGGCCAGAAGAAAAAGCCTGCTGAAAACAAGGCTGTGCTGCGCTGCTCTGCCCTGCAGTGTTCAGTGCCCTGGTTTCACTCTCCCTCCAGCTGTAGTCACTGCACTGTGTGTAGTGCTGCACTATTAAATCTATTCATTTCAATGGGTGGGCTATGTAACGGTGGTTTGTTGCTATGCCGACCAAAGCACTAGAGCACTGACAGGACATTTCTATGTTGTATACATGTTCCTGCTGCTTTCAGTAATGCCACTGTGCTGTCATGGTAACGCTGGTAAAATCATGTCTTCTAACTCATTCATTGATCCTTATTTTTATTTATTTATTTATTTTTATTTTTTTATCAGTATAATACAAGTTGTTGAATTAAAATTAAAAAAAAAAAAAATTACATTTAAAAATGACTATTAAATTAAATTCAAAATAATTATTAGCATTTTCAGTTTCGATTTTTGGCTAAGTGCATCCAGAAATGTCGGTTTTAGGCCTAGAGTTTTCATTTTAGCTTTGATTTAAACATTATAAGGTTAGGAAAAACTAAACTACTAAACTCAAAAGGTATTTTGAATAAATGGTTCTCCAAACCAATGGTTCTCTATTGGTCCCCATGACTTCTGTAGTATTTCTGTAAAGTCTTGTGAAAAATACAGTGGATGTCAATGCAGTTCAAAAGCCACTTTAGTTTAACTGGAAAAAAAAAAAGAGTCTTATGGACATCCTAAGAGGCCATGCATTCAAATATTTTTTTCTCTCTTGTTTTGTCGTGATCATGACACAATTATGTTTTGATCTCGACGTAACATATCGTTTTCTCGTGATCTCAACATAACAAAAAGTTATATGGTGATCATGATTTATTTCTTTGCTTGTATTTATTTATGTATTTGTTATTATTAATATATTACCTGCCTAATGTGAAACCAGGCCATTGATAATTTTCATATGTACACTCTGGCCTTTGAAACAGAATATTCCTCATGTAACGTAATGATTGTTAAGGATGAAGGGGCAGCTTGAGTGTTAAGCCAAGAGCAGCGAGTCTGCATCGGCCCTGTCAACAGGGAGAGAATAGCCTAACTGCAGACGTGCATTCGTGCAACACAGTAAAGGTGTTCAGTACTAATTCTGATTGCAACTGTATATGATTATATATCATTATTTACAGTAATATTCCCTCAACTGTTACCATATTAAAGCAATTCTATATGGCGCAATCCTGCTTTTGCTTTGAATTTTTCACAATTTATTTACAATAACTTTTAAATGTGAATCTCTGCAAATAATGCAATATGAAGCTACTATATGCATGTTACAGTGGGAGGTATCTATTGAGTTTATGATGGAGTGGTGATTAACGATTAATCTGTAATTGATCATTCATTTAAATGATCATCGATCAAGGGATTTTGTGGAAATTGACATCTCTAATACAGATCAACTCAGTTATTTTAAATAAAGAAATTTAAAAAACAATCCTTCTCTTGTGCTTTTGGATACATCATTTTGTATAATTTTCGTCCCTCCTGTAGCTCAGAACTGCTTTGAGCAGACGTGTGGCACCTGCCCCAAATCTGTAGCATTACATGTCCAGCTGAACTACACTGATTTCTGTAAAAATGCCTTCCGTACAAGCCTGTGTATTGCACACTTAACTTGGTTCCAGCGGCTATGTGTAGGCATGTCTAGGGCATCCAGGCAGAAAAAATAGGTCGCCTGGTCATACATTGGTGGGTGATAATAATAATAATAATAATAACAATTTTAATATTTAATACATAAATAAATTAAAGCAAATAAAATAAGTTTTGAAAACAAGATAACTTCTTGTTTTGTCGTGATCAGGAGATAATTAAGTCATGATCATGACAAAACAATGCATGGCCTCTTAGGTCTTCTGTAGAATCCAAAGAGAGAATTTTTTCTGACATTTTTTATTTTGTGGGGAGAAAAAAATATATATATATGTGTGTGTGTGTGTACCTATCTATCTATCTATCTATCTATCTGTCTGTCTGTCTGTCTGTCTGTCTATATAATCTATCTATAATCTATATATATATATATAAATGTATATGTGTGTATGTGTGTGTGTGTGTGTGTGTGTGTGTGTGTGTGTGTGTGTGTGTATGTATGTGTGTATGTATGTGTGTATGTATGTATGTATGTATGTATGTGTGTGTGTGTGTGTGTGTGTGTGTGTATGTATATGTGTGTGTATATATAAATAAGTTTATTGTGTGAGTAAATCATGACATAATTTTGTTATATTTTGGCTAAACTGTTATAATAAATAAAAAATATATAATATCATTTATCCAAAGTAAGTTTATCCCTCATTGTTTTTGCAGCAACGTCCAGCCATCCCAGTTCCCTCATCTCTTCCATCAAACCCTCATGCTGATCCTCCTCTTCGCTTCTCCTTTGCTGATTTGAACCTTCCAGATCTGTACAACTCCTTTCAGTCGCTCTGTCGCTCCATGAGAGAGAAGGTCACTTCCCAATGTAAGTAAAACTGCTTTTTCATTTAAGCTCATTAATTAAGATTCACAATTATTAAATAAATCTTTCTCTTTCTCATAGCGGACGTTTCCACTTTACTTGGACTCACCCATGATAGTACACCCCTTCACACCCCAACCCTGCCTCCTCTCTCCCCCTGTCCAAACCCCAATATTAACCAGTTTATCAACCCAAACTCAACTCATATTCCAAACCTCAATACCAACGGTAACTTCAATCCAAATGCACCCCATAGCTTTATCCCCACCCTAAACCCAAACCAGAACTCTAGCATTCATCCAAACTCGAGCACTGAACCTGACAAGGTGCTTCCCAACGGTGAGTAAAACTGCTCAGTAGTGATCTGTTGGTGGAATATGAGTGTCCAGATGAACTGATCTTCTTTTTTATCTCTTAAAGTTGTTCCTGCGGACTGGTTCAGTAACCCGGACTCTTTGAGAGAAAGTTTCAGAATCGCCAGTAGTCTGGATTGGGCAAACATTGACCTCTCTTGTCATCCTGGTCAGTACATCAGTCAGATATAGAATCAATACTTTTGTTTTCCACTCGGAATTTACAGTTGAGTTCCAGAGAAGAATGTTTTGACATGTTTGGAGTTTATTTGGAATCAAAAATGCCCACTTTGGATGGAGCGGTTTTTGAACATTGAAATGTTTCCCATAATTTAAAGTAGTAGTTAAAACAACTGTCCAAAACCAAAGTTTCACTTTGGAAGAAAATTGCTAATTGTGAAAATATTTTGTACACTGTTCACGTTAGATTTTTGTTTTATTAAATTTAAAATTAATTTATTTCTGAAATTTAATAAAATGACTTATTTTAAAATACTGAAATTAAACAAAGATGCATTATATTGATACTAATTGACAGAAAATTTTAAAAATGTAAAAAAGTTTTATTCATTGATTTATTCATTTTTAAAGTTGATTTTGAATGTTGAGTTCTTCAAAGAGTGTAATAAACAAATAAAACGACAAGGTAATAACTAGGGCCAGAGAGAATCTGAGGATATTTTATCCTATTTCTGCTGAGAATTTTGAAAAGAATCTGCGGATTTATGCAAATTGATTTTGGGAGTATCACAACTAAAAACCTAGGGCCCTATCATACACCCAGCGCAATGTGGCGCAAGACACGGCGCAATAGTCTTTTGGTAGTTTTAGCTTGGCGCCAAGAGTCGTTTTGAGGCGTTGCGCTACGCTGTTTAAATAGCAAATGCATTAGCGCTCATTTGTGCGCCCATAGGCGTTCTGGTCATTTATTCGTTTGCTAGAAATTAGAACTGAATATAGAAATAGTTTTGAAACAAATATTTTCTTGACAAACGCAATTAATTATTTATAGACTAATGGATGTCTGTGCGTAAAGGTTTCCCTATCCAAGAGCGAATGTGAAAGTAGTTCCATTATCTCTCATTCTCACGCAGTAGATGCTCAGTTTAACAGTTTTCTGTTAAAAACTGTCAACTGTTAACTGTTTGCTTGTGAAATGCTCATTTTTTCCACTTAGACTTACTTTGCGTCCTGTAAATAGCGAATGCGCTCTTGGCGCGACGCAGCTGGGTCTTAAAGAGAATGAGAGATGAGACTCTAATTGGTTTATTCTCAAAACACACCTATAACTTATTAAGAAAATAAACTCAACCCTTTTAGACCATACGCCTTGCCGCAAAGCGCATTTTCCCGTCCGTAAATTAGCAAAAACGCGTCCTGACACGCCCTGAAAGCGTTTGCCCCCTGCATTTTGCGCTCTGCGCATGGACCGTCAAAATAGAGCCCATAATGTATGAAAAACAAAATAATACGTTTTTACCTGTTTTTAATGTTTACAATGCAAATCCAGTTAGTACGGAAACCCGGAAGGGACGTGATAGCGTGAGAGAAAAAAAAAGTGTGATATTATATTTCTAAGGTTTTTGCGTTCTCTCGCAAAACTGTTTCTCTACAAACACTTCCTGTTTGATTAATTCATGTAAACCCATTTCTGCCGAAATTCTCCCATATTTTACCATTCTATCCTACTTTCTTCACGTTATCATATGCAACCTCTTAACCAGTGAAGTATAAGCGCTGACAGATGCGCTCCGTACAATAAACTGATCCCAGATCAGCTTCTGTACATGCCATTTAAAGAGACACCTGTTATCAACAAGTGAAGAGCAAATGAATCTTAAGTTTTGTTCTGTTTAATAACAGATGTGTCACTGTAAGAATGCACAGATCTACAATGGAAGCATCCATTACTTTAGAAACTGCTTGTGCTCATTTAAGAGAAAATTAGCTGTTTAAAATACAACATGCAGAATGGAGATGTTTAAATATTATTCAATGTGTTTGTCTGTTTAAACATACACCCGAATCCAAAAGTGTCCTGCACTTTTGCTCCTCTGTAGGCGTGTACAGAAGCTGATCTGGGATCAGTTTATTGTACGAAGCGTGTCTGTCAGCGCTTATACTTCACTGGTTCAGAGGTTGCAAATGAAAGGCAACGATCTACGCATAGCTTTAATGTAAAGAAAGTGAGATAATGCAAAACATCTTAGCGAGGGAACGCAAAAAGAACAAAAACTTTCAAATGTTTTCCTATCACTCAGTTGTTTTTTCTTCCACCTATTTTTTTCCCCACCATCACATCCCTTCCGGGTGTCCGTAAATTAGAGCCACTTATTTCGTAAACAAAGCAAGTCTCTTATATAATATATCAACTAAAGACAGAAAATATTACTTTACAAACTGTAATGTAAACAAATCATATGAACATTTTCATATCAGTCAATAATATTACTGAAATTAATTAAAAAACCTAAATAAATATAAATTTACACACATTTACACAAGTGAATAAATAGACTCAATGGTGGGCAAAAAATCTGCACTTGCAGATTCTGTGTAGGCCTAGTAAAAACTAAATTTTTCAACAAGGATTTATTATTAAATGTAAGTATTTCTGAATGATCATAAGATTTATAATATAACTATAATAATTTCCCAATCACTGTTGCTAACTATTTTCAATGAAAAGACACTAAGCTCAGCTCGAAAAGTCACTAAATGTCGCTAGATTACATCATGCATCAATTTGCTGTTTGACTGTACAAGGGAAATACCTCACACTCACGTTGCTAAATCATTTGCCATTGGTACGCTGGGGGGGGGGGGGGGGGATCTGTATGGAGTCAATCTAGGGCCATATATATTTGCAAAATAAAGGTTTTGCAAACAAAAAATAAAGTATTGAGCTAAAAAATAAATAAATGCTAATCTCCAAAAATCGCAAAGCAAAAACACATTTTTAAAAAATAAAAAAAAAATTTTGCCAACAAAAATAAAGAACTGCAGAGAAAAATTATGTTTTGAGAAATTAAAATGAAATTTGCAAATGAAAAAAGAATTGCAAATAAAGACAGCACTGTCTCTATTTAAGCAACGTCATCACCTGGAGACACAGCATCACCGAGATTGTTTTATAGGCCAGTAAGTCTGGACCTGCTGTAAATGCCCAAGTTCCCTTGTAACGATTGGTTTTGTAAATGCGATGCTATAAAAAATGTTTTGCAAATATAGAAAAATAATTAATTGCTAATATTTTCGTTTTTTTTTTTGCACTGCCTGATTTTTTTTTATTTTTTTGTTTGCAAACTTCATTTTTATTTCTCAACTTAATTTTTGCTTAATTTTTGAATTAAATATTTTGTTTGCAAAAATTTATTTTATTTTGCAAGTATATATGGCCCTAGATTGACTCCAAAGATCTGCTCTCAGGCTGCAGGTGCAAGAGATGGCTGTGTGCATGTGGTACTAGGCTGCCTGTGAGTGTTCTGAGGCAAGGGAGGGGCAGTTGGCATCACTCACTGCTTGCTGAGAAGAGTAGGAACGTTACAGTACGGACAAATGAGAAGCTATAAAAAAATCTCATGAAACACCAAAAAAAAGTCGCTAGATTTGTCGCTAGTTGCTTTTTCAAAAAATTGTAACTAGGGGAGTCTGAAAAGTCTCTAAGTTGGCAACACTTTTCCCAATGTATGTTGGTATACTTCCAACAGAAAAGCAATATTAAAGAGGGTGATTTATATATATACACACACACACACACACACACACACACACACACACACACACACACACACACATATATATATATTTATATATATATATATATATATATATATATATATATATATATACACACACACACACACACAAATAAACATTATCAGACAAACTATATATATATATATATATATATATATATATATATATATATATATATATATATATATATACATACAGTTTGTCTGATAATGTTTTGCTTAATGCTTGATGAGAATGCTTCTGGAGAAAGTCTTATTTGTTTTATTTTGCCTAGAATAAAAGCAGTTTTTATAAATAAATAAAAAACATTTTAGGGACAAAATTATTAGCCCCTTTAAGCTATATTTTTAATTGATAGTCTACAGAACAAACCATCATTATACAATAACTTACCTAATTACCCTCACCTGCCTAGTTAAACTAATGAACCTAAGTAAGCCTTTAAATGTCACTTTAAGCTGTACAGAAGTGTCTTGAAAAATATCCAGTCTAATATTATTTACTGTCATCATGGCAAAGATAAAATAAATAGTTATTAGAAATGAGTTATTAAAACTAATATGTTTAGAAATGTACTGAAAAAATCTTCTCTCTGTAAATAATAATTCTGATATATATGTATCAGAATTCTGATATATATATATATACACACACACACACACACACACACACACACACATACATGCATACATAAAATAAAGCCCCATACCCTCTATAACAGTGGTTCTAAAACTTTTTTTCCAAGTACAACCATAATGACTGGTATTGAAATGCATAGTAGGCCTAATTAAGCGGCTACAGCTTACTACAAAACTACAAATTAATTATTATTATTATGAATATTTATTATTGTCAGCTACTTTAAACATAATAAATAGTTTGAACAATAACACACTTACAGGTAAAAAAAAGATAAATAAAATGACGTTTAAATTAAAATGTGATTTTAAAAGTTAATTAATAAAGGCACTGTTCTTAAAAAATTCAAAGAAAACTGCTGTACTTAAATTTAAAGTATCATAAAGTAGCCTATTCATCAAAACCTGCAAATGTTTATTGGACCTCATAAATAATATTTACATTTACATTTAGTCATTTAGCAGACGCTTTTATCCAAAGCGACTTACAAATTACTAACAAGGAAGCAATTTACACAACCAAGAGCAACAATGAATAAGTGCTATAAGCAAGTTTCAGGTCTGTAAAGTCTAAGAAGGGAAGTATTAGTAGTATTTGTATTTTTTTTTTTTTTTTTTTTTTGTACAGTTAGTGTGATATTCAGAGAGGCAATTGCAGATTAGGAAGTGTAGTGGAGACTAAATAGTTGAGTTTTTAGTCGTTTCTTGAAAGTAGCGAGTGACTCTGCTGTTCTGATGCAGTTAGGGAGTTCATTCCACCAACTGGGCAGATTGAGCGTGAGCGTTCGCGAAAGTGATTTTTTCCCCCTTTGGGATGGAACCACGAGGCAACGTTCATTCACAGAACGCAAGTTTCTGGAGGGCACATAGATCTGCAGAAGCGAGAGCAGATAAGAAGGAGCAAGGCCAGAAGTCACTTTGTAGGCAAACATCAGAGCTTTGAATTTGATGCGAGCAGAAACTGGCAGCCAGTGCAAACGGACTAGCAGCGGAGTGACATGTGCTCGTTTAGGTTCATTAAAGACAACTCGTGCTGCTGCATTCTGGAGCAGTTGAAGAGGCTTGATAGAGTTAGCTGGAAGCCCAGCTAGTAGAGAGTTACAGTAATCCAGTTTGGAGAGAACAAGAGCTTGAACAAGGAGTTGAGCTGCATGTTCAGATAAGAAGGGTCGGATCTTTCTGATGTTATAGAGTGTGAATCTGCACGATCGAGCAGTTCTAGAGATGTGGTCAGAGAAGTTTAGTTGGTCATCAATCGTTACTCCAAGGCTTTTCACCATTTTGGATGCAGTAATGGTTGCCCCGTCCATCTGGATTGAAAAGTTATGGTGTAGAGTCGAGTTGGCAGAAAGTACAAGCATTTCCGTTTTTGCGAGGTTCAGCTGAAGATGATGATCTTTCATCCAGTGTGAAATATCCAACAGGCAGGCTGAAATGCGAGCTGGAACCGAGGGATCATCAGGATGAAAAGAGAGGTATAGCTGGGTATCATCAGCATAGCAGTGGTAGGAGAATCCATGTCTCTGGATGACTGGTCCTAGAGATGATGTGTAGATGGAGAAGAGAAGTGGCCCAAGAACAGAGCCTTGAGGTACCCCAGTGTTTAGATGCTGTAGGTTGGACACCTCACCCCTCCAAGACACCCTGAATGATCTGTCAGTGAGGTAAGATCTGAACCATTGTATAACAGTGCCCGCAACGCCCAGTGACTCGAGCGTAGATAGCAGGATCTGGTGGTTGACAGTGTCAAAAGCAGCTGACAAGTCCAGCAAAATGAGGACTGATGATTTAGAGTCTGCTTTAGCCAGTCTGAGATCCTCCACGACCGAGAGCAGGGCAGTCTCAGTTGAGTGGCCTTTCTTAAAGCCGGATTGCTTGTTGTCCATGAGATTGTTTTGAGTAAGAAAGTCCAGGACTTGATTGAACACTACTTTCTCCAGAATCTTGGCCATGAATGGAAGCAGGGATACTGGTCTGTAGTTTTCAAGTAGCGTATGGTCCAGGTTGGGTTTCTTTAGCAGTGGGGTTACCCTAGCCTGCTTAAATGAAGTGGGGAATAAACCAGAGTCAAGAGATGTGTTAATTATGTGAGTCAGTGTTGGTATGACTGCAGGAGAGATGGCTTGCAAGAGATGAGAGGGAATGGGATCGAGTGGACAGGTGGTTGCATGGCTAGATAGCACCAGTTTGGACACCTCAGACTCAGAGAGCTGAGAAAAAGAGGTGAGTGTGTGTGGTGTTGGTGGTGTACCTTGCGTGTTTGTTGTAGGTGCAGCAAATTGAGCACTGATTTTTGCAGTTTTGGTGCAAAAGAATGTAGCAAAGTCATCAGTAGTAAGTGTGGAGGATGCGGGTGGAGGAGGAGGATAGAGGAGGGAGGAAAATGTTTTAAAAAGTAGGCGAGGGTTAGTGGCATTGTTGATTTTCAGACGGTAATATGTCTGCTTTGCCGAAGTAACCTCAGCCGAGAAAGAGGACAGAAGAGTTTGGTATGTTAAGAGCTGTGCAGGATTTTTAGTTTTCCGCCAAATTCTTTCTGCAGCTCGAAGTTTTGAGCGATGCTCACGGAGAGCATCCGAGAGCCAGGGTGCAGGAGGACTGGCACGGGCTGGCCTGGATGCAAGAGGACATAATTGGTCTAGACATGATGCTAGTGTGGAGCAGAGTGTATCAGTGGCACTGTTCGAATCAAGTGCAGAGAGTTTGCAAGATGGAGGAAGAGAGTCTGAAACAATGGTGGATAGTCTATTGGGTGAGAGAGATCGTAGGTTTCTGCGAAAGGTAACCAGTGTTGGAGTGTGTGGCGGCTCAGGAGTAATGTGGATGTTGAGAGACAGAAGGAAATGATCCGATATTTGTAGTGGAGTTACTATTGTTTGATCAGCGAAGCAGTGTCGTGTGTAAATAAGGTCTAGCTGATTACCTGATTTGTGGGTAGCAGAGGTAGGTGCTCTTTTTAGGTCAAAAGAGGCAAGCAGAGTCTGAAAGTCTGCAGCTTGCGGTTTGTCAACGTAAATGTTGAAGTCACCTAGCACCAACAAGGGAGTGTCAATATTAGAAAAAGATGAGAGAAGAACATCCAGTTCATCTAAGAAGTGACCTAATTTACCTGGTGGGCGGTAGATGACAACCACATTTATGTAGAAGGGGTGGATAATGGTGACTGCATGGAATTCAAAGGAGCTGATTGTTGGCAGGGACGGTATCAGAGTAAATTTCCATTCTTTGGAAATTAGTAGTCCAGTCCCACCCCCTCTCCCTGTGTGACGAGGAGTGTGGGAAAAAGAGAAATTAGCAGAAAGAGTAGCATGTGTAGCAGTGTCCTCCGGCCTCAACCAGGTCTCAGTTAAAGCCATGAGATTTATATTCATATATAACTCTATAGAGTCATATATAACTCTGTTTGATAAATTTTGAAATATATTTTGCATGTATATATGTCTTATTTGGGTATCTTTGAAATCTAAATGTTAACTTGTATTTGAAGTAATTGAAATGGATTTACATATTTAAATTAGAAATTAGATCCGTTTACTGCTCGTTAGAGTAAGCTATGTGTGTCAGAGAAGCAAGTGATTAAAACTATACCTGTCGACATTGGGTTATAAAAATACGAGATACTCCCCCAACAACCGTTACAAGTATGGGGAGGAAAATAACCTCAAATGACAGAATACAAAAAAAAAAAAATTCCTGATAATATTGTTGTTATCATACGTGTCAAAGGGTGTAAAGTGTGTTTATTTTTTTTTACTTGAATTATTCAGCGATTCCTCGGCGTACCACTAGAAGGAAGCCTGCGTACCACTTGTGGCACATGTACTACAGTTTGAGAACCCCTGCTCTATAATATTCAGTTTCAGTTGGAAGTGTATCAACACACTAAAATAAAATTCTCAATAAAAATCTTGGAAACTCAATAGTTGAAGTGTAGAGCATTTTTTTATACACAACGTAAACACAAAATAAACATATATTTAACAATTTATTTAAAATAAATCTTTTTTTTTTTTCGAACAAAACTTTTAAAAAACTTTTAAAAAAAGCTCAATACAATTTTACAGACTTTACAGACAAAAAAACAATACATGTGTAATCATGACTGCATCCAATATTCTAAACTGCCCAGCATCACTAAGGTTTAAGATGTGTCTCTATCTGTTTTGTTTTCATGCAGACCTGTTAGAAAGCATGCGTCAGGCCGAACTGCGAGATTGGGCTCTGGATCCAGCACTCTTCACCTCGCTCTGTGATTCGCTCAACCGTTTCTTCACTCACAAGGGTCTCATTGGCTCGTCTTCTGGTGGTCCATCTTCTTTCGGACACATGGCACCACCTTCTGTCAATATGCCCCCCACTAACCCTCCCACACTGTCAAGTTTAACTCAACCATCTCCACTCATTTACCCCTCCCAGCTCCCTCCTGGCAGCGGTGAAGCTCCTCTACAGGGTCCCAGGAGGAACCTGACCCCTCTTGCCCAGAACCAGACCACACAGACCCCAGGGGGACTGCAGCCCACCACCAGCCAGCCCATGACTCCCAACGGTATGTCCAGAGATCACTTACATCCATATAGGAACAGTGCATATTTAGACTATATTAGTGGTGTAACTGATCCCAAATCTCACGGTTCGGATCACGTTTTGTTTTTGTAGTCACAGATCGAATCATTTTTCGAATCAGCCAAAAAGGGAGGGATGCTTTCCATTTTTACAAAAACAGCACTTCAAGAAACTTTTGGCTTTAACAAACAGAACTTAGAACCTGTACATTTATTCAAAATAAAATGAAGAAATAATCAGCTCAATCAAAATAAATCGTAAAATATTCTGTGAAAAATTCACTGTTACTACTACTGTTGCTAATGACGCTAAATGTAGAAATCTTACATTATAATTTGTACAATTCAGAATTATTTTTAGTCTCATTTTCAAGAAATGATTCAGTTATTCACTCATAAAACTTCCTGTTCATGTTTTGATGGCTGGTTGTCGCCACCTATTGGTTAAATAATGTAATTGCTGTCGGAGAAATATCCAGCTGCAGACCAAGTGTGCCGCAAGCCTACGTTTGAGTGAAGGTTTCGGCCGTTAGATCGCCCCCTGGGGGCTGGCTGCAGTACAAGTCATAAAGCCCGCCTCCTCCGTGTTAATGAAGGAGACTTGAGCCCAAATAAAAAAAAATATTACACTTGCAATAAAATGTCCCGAAAGATAGTTCTGGTCGATTAAGGCACTGGTTATTGTGCTGAAATAGGTGCAGATCTTCATTTTTGTAAACAGTTTGTTTTTAGCAGTAATTTAATGCTGGGCGTGTCATCGTGATTGACAGCTGTGATTGACAGTTTCTCAAAGCGCGGCGTCTGAGCTTCGGCAGGAGACTGAAGTAGACTGAAATGTTATTATTCGATTTCTGTGTTATTTTACCATGACAAAATGAGTTCAGCAGTAAACTATAGTTTCTGACATACATGATCCTGGTGGAACACTGTTTATTCGCTAAGTTCAGGGCTTTTTTCGGGCTTTATTAGTTTGCTGATACACGCCTAACCACCCAGATAGCAAAACACAGTTCCGGCTAGATTCTCGCCTGCCGGAGACTTATCTCTTAGAGCTCAGACTGACTAATGTTACCTCTGCTGGACCTACTCCGGATGCCTGGACTCACTGCCCGATTCCAGTCCGAGTCAATCGAGCCAGATGCGGCGGCCGAGCGAGCAGGCGCTGCCGCATGCGAGCCGGAATCAGCCCGCGACGCCGCGAGTAAGTTATGCGCTGCGGCCTGGAGCTGGCGCGATTGAATATATAAAACCCTCATATTTGTTAACGTTATTACATCCATTTGTGTTGATATGACAGCAAACGCATGCTGAGAAGTTCGGGGGGCGTAGTTGATTTTACATAAAGCGTTTGATTGGAAGCTCGACTCTGCTCATTTTCGCGGCTCCTCCTCTGGCTCCATCAGACAGTCCTTCTGCGCATGTCTGGCTCCAATTTCAGCAGTCTTTTGCGACAGTTTGTGCCCGTCAAGCAGGCGTTTTGCCCTCAAGGCGTTCAATGGGGAAAAGGGCTGTCGCGTCGTCCATATTTTTTACAGTCATTGCTGCAGACCCGCAGAACCACACACGTTTCAGGCAAACACAGGCTGTTTCTCAATTCCAAGAACGCAGAGGACAGACTTGCGTTCTTGTGGAACCCGGTCTTGCCAGGTGTTCTTGGAAGAATGAACTCAGGAGACCGTGAGAACAGAGAATGCATCCTGTGAGAAATGAGATGCTGCGTTCCTCCTGATGGCCACATGACATTCACGTGTTTTTTAAATGGAAAATTATTTAAACATTACATCAATTATACAAGGACTTATTGTTTTCCTCCTTTTCAATATATATACTATGCCTAAAAACATTATATGCGTTGCACAATATAAATAAAACAGATTTTAATACGGATTTCAGCAAATAAACACCCTTTATGTGTTTATTCCTTTATTAAGATGTCCATAGTAATGTTTACCTTTACCTTTTCATTTAGAGCAACTCCTGAGGTAAATAAGTGATATCTCTGAAAAATTAGACAAATCTTAATAAAATGCTGCGCTTTCCAGTCGCAATGACTTCTGGGACTTATAGAGCAAGATCGGTGCTCAAGTCTGCATTGGTGCATCCTCTATCAAGAACACATGCGGGAAGATTCACGCGTCCTCTGTTCTTGCAGTCTTCAGTATTGGAACTAAACTTGAGAAACAGCCACAATCTAGCACACATGATTATGATGTTTCCCAGAGATGGGAACGCCAGCTGCAACCCATCTCTGGGAAACATCCATACACACTCATACACTACGGACAATTTAGCCTACCCAATTCACCTTTACCACATGTCTTTGGACTGTGGGGGAAACCGGAGCACCCGGAGAAAACCCACTCGAACGCAGGGAGAACATGCAAACTCCACACAGAAACGCCAACTGACCCAGCCGAGGCTCAAACCAGTGACCTTCTTGCTAAAAGGCGACAGCACTACCTACTGCGCCACTGCGTCACTAGCTATATAACTGTTTTTTCATAATTTAAAAAAATAATAAAAAAGAATAGTAAAAAAATAATAATAAAAAAATAGCAAAAAAATAAAGAGTTATGTTAGGCTATCATAAGTGAGGCTTTTTTTCGTGATATTGTCTGTTTGGCATTTGTAAAATTTATCATAAACCATTAGGCTATTAGGCCTACCCATCATTTTATTTATTAACCCTTTTAAATAATGTTTTCAGGTTACATTTTTATTTTTAGGCCCATGAGCTACAAGTCAAAAGAAAATCGATATGCTAACTGTATTTTAGCTGTTAAAATAGGCCTACAGTATATTTTCTGATGTTTAATTTTGCATGAGCAAATAGCAGTATAGGCTAATTTACATATCTTTAAATTATCATTCAGCCTACCTGCAGCGCATGTGAGAGGTGGATCCACGCACCATACCCATTTCATTTATAACTGTAAACTTGACTTAGCAGGCCGATCATCTTTAAACTCAAAAGGCATTTTTAAGTGTCCTAACACGACACTGCTGCTGCATAATGGGATGTTTCTTTACAAAACTATAAAATTGGCTTTTGCAATTTGAAAATGAAAGCAAACATTCAAAATGTTTCTGTTTGGTCAATTTAATAGGTTCGTTTTAATAATATAAATATTAATGAATATAATAAATTGTAATATTAATTATAGTGTAGATTATTGTGGGACTGTGCTGTGTCCAACTAAACATTTTTATTAGGCTACATATCCCTTAACTAAAAAACTGCTCGCCTTCGTGACACACTAGTCGTTTTCAAGAGTGCGCCTAGCTGCCGGTGCGCGCTTTAAAGGCTATAAATGGGTGCATCCTGACCTGACGCGGGGAGCAAATCTCTCAACTATTGCTTTAATTGCACAATTTCCATAATGTAATTGCAATTTCATATTATACAGTATCTAAATGTGTGTTCTGAAGGTTGGAATGATGGGAGTAGCCCCCATAGTGCCTGGCCTGTTTGAGCATCACGTTAAATTCATATGATGGTGATTTTAATCTTTACAATAAACATCAGTGGATTAATCTAAACCAGGGTTTTTCAAAGTCTAAGACAGTGGGCCTCCCTTTTGACACAACTTATCCATTGGCGCCCCCCTCCTCCCAAACACGCACGCACGCACGCACACACACATATATATATATATATATATATATATATATATATATACAGTATATATAAAGACACAGACAGATGCCAGACTGTTAACTCACTTTTATCATCATTTGCATGAAAGTGCAATTATTTACAGAGTAATAACAAGTATTTTAATATAACGTTTTTAAAACTAGGATGATGGTTCAATATGAATAGAACAGTTCCAAGAACTATTCATCCCAGTCAAAATAGTGGAAGTTTAGTGGGTCTCATGCTGTCATTAGCCAAAATATTTTGACATTGATCAGCTGGTCCTGTCCACATAAATCATAAACTCAAATACTGATCATCATATCGTCGTCTTTTGGGTTTAAGCCCTGAACTTGAAGGCTTTTGTGGCGAGGGGGCGTGGCCGAGCGCCGTGGGAACGGAGTGAGGCCACCGCGTAAGTGGATACACCTGCGGTGCGCACCTGCCTCAGATCCCACGGAAGGAGCTCTGGATCATAAAAGGAGGAACAAAGGCAGAGGAAGCCGAGAGAGGACCGGACCCGGACATATTTTACTTTTGCTTTCAGTTTGACGGCAGTCTCCGTGAGGATCTGCCGTCCGTTTGTTTTGGTTTAGACGGAGCTGCGGTCACTGTCATTAATAAATCACTTTAAAACTGCTTCGGTTCTCCGCCTCCTTCCCGGCGGCCAAAGGGCCGTAAACTTCATTACAGCTTTGAATCGGGGTGGGTCTCAGAAACCTACCCATTGTATTAGCAGGCATATAATAAACGTTTAAATATAATAAAAAATACATATAATAATTAAACTTAATAATTATATTTTTATTATATTATATTTTTCCCGCGCCTCCCCTGACATGCTCTGGCGCCCCCCAGGGGAGGCGCGCCTCACACTTTGAAAACCCCTGATCTAAACTATAAACGGTTATCATAAAGTACTTCTGTGTTATTTGACTGTTTGTAACTTCATAAATAACTTCAAAGACTAAATCTCTTTCTCGATATTTGCATGTTTCAAATGCAGATTTGAATGCAGCAATTTGAAGGATTAATAAACGTACGCAAATCACCATTATTTATAATTTATAGTTGCGTGGGTGTTGAGATCCCGATCTTTCAATGATTAACCGTGCAACTAAAGACTGGTTTATACTTCTGCGTCAAGCATGTATGCTATGGCACAGCCTACGCAAGGACGCATAGCCCTCGCCGTGGCCGTCCTCTAAAAAAATGTAACTACACGTCGCAACGACGCGTAGCACAAGCTCAGTGATTGGTCGGCTTGTTAGCGCTGACAAGTGTGGGTGAGACTGAGAGCCGGGCGAGTCCGTTGGAGCGAGTGTTTACAAGTGTGGAGTCCTGTGAAGGAGCTCCGTATGAAATGTTTTGTTTTGTGTTTACCTTATGGTTAAAGTTGTTGCACGTCCGCCGGTTCCTTCCTCATAATGAGCAAATTTAAACCATTTGTACATTAAAAAAGCGTTCAGAACAAACAAAACACCAGCGAAGAAACTCGACACGCCATGGGTCACGCTGATTACATGGGGTTGGTGGTTGGGGGTATTCTCTTAGAATCGTCCTAACCTCTCTGTCGGTGCCCCTGGCTCATGACCATAGGTAGAAAGGTAGATTTACCAGTAAATCGAGAGCTTTGCCTTTTGGTTCAGCTTCTTATTTAACCATAAACCAGTTATGGAAATAAAGAAAATCCTTTTGCAAGACGCTGATAGCCTTCAAATTAAAAAAAAAATCCATCCTCTTTTTACTCCCCCCTCCTCCTCAACAACAAATCCCCATTGGGACATTGGGAAGTGATCATTGCTATACTGCTCCTAATACGACATTATTTTGCTTTCACGCAGCACTTCATACTCAACCGTTGACGCCATCTGCCCGTCCACCCCTGAAGACTGGCATCAGTGAAGAAATCCAGGACGATTTCGACTGGGACTCTTTGATTGAATAGAATTGATTGTTGGCAGACATGCATATAAAGTAAAAGAAAACATGAGCCATCAGTGAAAAAAGCATCAATATCTGTCAACATGAGGTGAGGCCAGCTAGTTCATCATATTTCATACATGAATGGAACAAAAGCAGAACCACCTTAACATTGACCATCATTCAGGTCAAGCACATCGTTGTGAACAATCAGAAAATGCATCAAGGTTTACCAAATGCAGTGCAGTAAAGGTATCATGTTTGTTCCTGTTCTGCTCCAGATCTGGAAGTCAGGGGTGGATCAGTTCTGACAATGTTTTCTTTAATGTAACATCCGTTTTCTCTTATCCCAAGTTATACACAGATGGCTGCCTTTTACGTCAGTGTATTACAGTGTAAATAACGTTAGCACTTCGAAAAGCCAGAAGACCATGGCTGTATTTTTGCTGAATGCTGATACAGGCTTTTCCTACTCGTAATTAGTCGGTTCATAAAAAAAAGTTTGACCAAAGAATTTGTCTTAATTGCACTTTCAACAAATTGCATGTACACTAACAATTTTTGTGGGAGATTTAATGGTTCAACAATACACTGAGCTATACACTCGCTGGCCACTTTATTAGGTACAAGTTACTAGTACCAGGTTAGACGCCCTTGTGCCTTCAGAACTGCCTTAATCCTTCATGGCATAGATTCAACAAGGTGCTGGCAATATTCCTGAGATGATGCAAATCTCCCGTTCTACCACATCCCAAACGTGCTCTATTGTATTGATTCCTAATGACTGTGGAGGCCATTTGAGTACAGTGAACTCATTGTCATATTCAAACCAGTCTGAGAAGATTTGTGGTTCATGACATGGTGCGTTATCCTCCTGGAAGTAGCCCTCAGAAGATGGGTACATAGTGGTTATAAAGGGATGGACATGGTCAGCAACAATACTAAGGTAGGCTGTGGTGTTGACACGATGCTCAGTTGGTACTATTGGGCCCAAAGTGTGCCAAGAAAATATTCCCCACACCATTACACCACCAGCAGCCTAAACAGTTGATACAAGGCAGGATGGATCATGCTTTCATGTTGTTAACGCCAAATTCTGACCCCACCATCCGAATGTCGCAGCAGAAATGGAGTCTCGTCAGAGCAGGCAACATTTCCAATATTCTATTGTTCAATTTTGGTGAGCCTGTGCGAATTGTAGCCTCAGTTTTCTGTTCTTAGCTGACAGGAGTGGCACCCGGTGTTGTCTTCTGCTACTGTAGCCCATCCGCCTCAAGGTTGGACGTGTTGTGCATTCAGAGATGCTCTTCTGCATACCTCGGTTGTAACGAGTGGTTATTTAAGTTACTGTTGCATTTCTATCATCTTGAACCACTCCGGCCATTCTCCTCTGACATCAACAAGGAACTGTCGCTCACTGGATATTTTCTCTTTTTTGGACCATTCTCTGTAAAGCACAGGTGTCAAACTCATTTCCGAAAGGGCCGCAGTTCTGCACAGTTTAGTTCCAACCCTAATTAAACACACCTGATCAAACTAATTGAGTCCTTCAGGCTTGTTTGAAACCTACAGGTAAGTGTGTTGGAGCAGGGTTGGAACTAAACTGTGCAGGGCTTCGGCCCTCCAGCAATTGAGTTTGACACCCCTGCTGTAAACCCTAGAGATGGTTGTGCGCTCAATCAACCATGCCACGTTCAGTCACTTAAATCATCTTTCTTCTCCATTCTGATGCTCAGTTTGAACTGCAGCAGATCATCTTATCATCATCATCATATAATTGGCTGATTTGAAATTTGCATTAACGAGCAGTTGGACAGGTGTACCTAATAAGGTGGCCAGTGAGTGTATTATGACAATATATTTGTGTATTATGAAATGATGAATTCTATTGCTTATTACATGTTGTCACATAGCAATTAATTAAAAGAACAATTAAAGGAAATACTTATGATTTTAAAGCAAATCAATGCAACAAAATAAGCTTGGACAATTTTGTTTTGTGGATTTTTATTTTATTTCTTAAATTCCTTTTGATTTTTTTTCTCCATTTTATTTTTTTTATGTGAATGTTCACAGTCAACACCACACACTTTTTGACCATAGCCAATATTAGAGAAATATCTCTAAAATGTTCATATATATATATATTTATATATATAAAATAATTTGAAAGTAAATAAAGGATAACAGCATGGATCGTATCATTCAGTCCCCATTTTTATAATCTGATTTCACAAAATCATTCAGACAATTTTCAGTTTCAGAAGCGTTAACACTTTCCTGTTTTCTGTGTGAATGTAGAAGGACAAAGGTGCTGAAGTGAAATGCAAAGACAAGCGCTGTTTCTCAAGTGAACAGGTGTTGAATTAATGCTTCGATTTTCTTTCTTTTTTTTCACGACTGCAAAAATAAGTGGCTGAAAATTAGGACTCTTATAAAGACAATGCTGATTACCCCATCAAAAGCACAGCAGTGGGCCAAGTGAAACACTGGACATGTCAAACACTCTCTCACATAAACACACTCGCTCCTCATGTGTGTATGAACCATGCGGTATGGACTGAAATGTTGCAGGCCAGAGACCGAGCAGGCATCTGTTTCAATGGCAATTTCCAGTGCGATTTTCCTTGGTTTAATCGTTTCCAGGAGTCAGAGACATACGATTAAAATAAATTACACAAGATTACACATTAAATTAAATTAAAAGTAATACATCTATCAAATGATTTTTACTAGAGTTGTGAATAAAACGGACAGCCGAATCCTTCTGAATCCATTCAGGGCCAGTCCGTCAGACATCCTTCATGCGCTCTTTCTTTAGAGGGCCACCGGCTCTTCCATCATCAATGAAAGGAGGGGGGGAGAAATCAGGGTGTGTGATTAAGTTCATTAGTGGCTTGTTTTCCTCCTCCCATTTCTTCATATTCCTGATTCTGAGCAACAACAATCATCTTAATAATATAACAATATTAACAGCCTGCATTCATTGAATGAACCCACCAATCATCCATGTCTGTCAAAGAAACCAAAACTCAATAGGGAAATAAATAGACTTCAAATACTGTCAAATAAAACGGGGGAAATAAAAGAACAAAACAAAACTGAAATGCTGTTTGTGACAGAAAAGAACACGTTGTTGTTTTTACTTTTCATTAAATATAGAGATGAACACACATTTGTTTTTGTTGAACACAAACTGTTTGTGTTGGTAGGGCAGGTTTGGATTGGTTGTTGAGTGCACAGGGCCAGTGGGATTGGCGAAATCTCTCAAAGAAGGAAAGGATTGGTGCTTGTGCCTGTGGTTCCACCTCCCATGGATCCCCCTGTTCCCATTACTCCGCCCACTCCTGATGGCCCGCCCAAAATCAGTGAAGGCTGCGCAGGTCCTCCTGGACCCATCAGCAAGGGGTTTCCTCCTGGACCCATAGGGGATATTCCACCGTAAGGCATGCCCATTCCCATGCTTAAACCGGGGGCCGCCATAGGGACCCCCATTCCTGGCATGCCCATTCCTGGCTGAACCATTCCTACTACTGGCGGAGGCATGTGACCCAGCATGGGATTTGGGGGAACGGGGCTTGTACGCAGCTGGTTCAGACCAAGTGAAGAGGGTTGAGGGGAGATTGATGCCATTGGGGTCGCGCCAAAAGGATTAGAAGCCGAAGGTGGAGTCGGAGATACTCCTCTACTTGAAATGGTACTTCCTGGGGTAACTCCCATACCTGTTGAGGAAGGCCCTAATGGAGGAAAGAAAGATGTTAGAGGGAAAAGCAAACAAACACAATTTCTATTCAACTGTTTTAAAAACACACCCTGTGTCTGGAGGAAGGGGTTGTTAGATGTGGAGGAGATGCTTGGTGGGGGTGGTTGTTTTGGTTTGGGTTTTGATGATACTAGTGAGTCCAAATCCACCAGTGCTGCGTTGGGCCCCAAAAATGACTCTGGTGTTTTCCGAACAGGCAAAGAGCTACCAAGCGATGAAAGGTCAAAGGGCACAGGAGAGCCTGTGCTGCCACCTCCTCCTGCATCACATGTCACTGAGGAACCTCTTCTCTCTGGATCTGCTGTGTGTGGGGGGGAAATGGCAAAAAACAATTACAGGCAAACAGCATATTTGCTTAACTGAGATGGGGTTACAGTCCAAACAATCCTTTGCTAAACCCTACATTATTACCCACAATAGATTCAACTGTATCAACGCACCTAAAACTGAAATAAGATCTGAATAATTATGTATATGATTAAAATTCTGCCTCCGAGCTACTTTAGTAGTAGTGTTAAGCTACTTTAGCCTTTCTTTTGAGGTTGTACTTGTGGGCACAGAGGCCACTCACAGGCAGTGTTGGGGTAACACGATATAAGTAACGCACATTACGTAATAATATTACTTTTTAAAAGTAATAAGCAAATTATTAAGTAATCAAATTATTTGAGTTACTTTCAGAAAAATGTAACGCGAGTTACTTTTTACCTTGCTTAATTGGCTTTTACGAATTATACTGCGGAGAAAAAACTACCTTAGGTTGAATCACACACTCAATCAGAAAGCGAGCTGCGAGGGAACAGACTGTCTGCTCATCATCATCATCACCAGGGGCCTCATGTATCAACGCTGCGTACGCACAAAAACTTTGCGTACGCCAGGTTTCAGGCTCAGAATCGCTCACGTTTGGATTTACTAAAAATGAACTGAACATGGGAATGTGCGCAGCTTCACGGCAGCTTTATGGCTGGCGTACGCACATTTTTTGTGCGTGTCTGTTTTATTTCCATTTGCGACTCCTAGAGGCAGTTGTGTTAAATTGCTCTCGACAAAGTGTCTGAGCCTTGCAATGGCAGCTGTATGAGACGGGTTCATCTAGTAGGTATATAAGGTTTCCATACCATACAGTTGACCAGCTAAACATTAAAGCACAATTTGCAGCGGTCGCCTGTTTTCCCAATGTAATCTGAGCAATCTACCGCACGCACATTGCTATAAAGACACTATCTGAAGATGAATTCGCATGCGTGAATCAGAAACATTTCCATTCAATAAATGTGCAAATAAAATATGTTGCACAGACTTATTAATGATTCCTACTTGTCTTTCTCGTGATAAATAGTGGGCAAAATCTGATATGTAGCGGGGGAAAAAAGAAAAAAAAGAGTTCATCAGACGCTGGATTCGAGCCGAGTTCATGCACGAACGTGACAATTCATGATCACATGAGTCTTACGAGTAGCGCCACTGAGACTGGCAAAGCACTCAGTGCACTCAGTGCGATGTTCAGACCCAACTGTGTTAGCCGCATCAGCTAAACTCTCCCACTCTATTTTTTTCTTTTCTTGTTAATTCCGGAGAACAAACTTGCAAATAACACCGCTTTTCTCCGGTCTACCTCCGAAAGCAGCACCTCCGATTCACATTCTGTTCAAAGTTTCTCTTTTTGCTTGCTTTTGCCTTTGCTTTTTCGTTGGGTTTTGCCATTAGCATAGTCATTTGCATATTCATACGGGGGAGGAGGCAGGG